ACTTTTATTGTGCGAGAAAACAATTGGAAATACAATTTACATTTCCCTTGTTTTCCCCCAAAGGGATCAATTACTTGACTCCCATTTTCTCATTACGACCCATAAATAAGTCAATGAACATGCGACTGACTGAGCCATAATATTTGATGGGTCGCGGAGCAATAACAAAAAAGACTGGAAGAAAAATATGACTCCCCGTCTCTCGGTTGTTATGCCAAATAAGATGAAAGGTTTGTATTTGTTTACGCTTCTAAGGAGAGCCAGCAATTGATGCGTTAACCCCAATTTGATTTGTCTCCTTGTCAATTGCTCTAGGGACTTTCAAGAGCCAGTTCCCAGTCTCTATTATCCTTGATTTCCCATTCATTGCCTAAGCTGGCCAGATTACTGTTCATTAACATACTAGAGGACTTCTAGGGGCTGTCTGTCAACAGAATCTGAGCAAACAATAACAATACCAAACTGTCTGAGTGCCGCACAATGGCCGATGTATGTCCTGGTCCCGCTCGAATACAAACAAGTAAATAAATATGCTTCGGTTCAGCATAAATAAACCACGAATTCGGGGTGGTTTGTGGCGCTGCAGATGGTGACCCACATTCCCGCAGATGGAGACAGATTATGAGGGGCTACCCACCATAGAGGTCCTTTTCCTAGCTTAAAGTGCTGGGCAAACAATACCCCAAGGGGCTCTTGTAGTTTTGCTGGGGAAGACCTTGGAGCTTACAGGGCTTTAAACAGAATTATATAAAGAATATGTAAAAACAAAGGATTAAATGAAAAAATGCTGTGAATTTAATAAATAAATTGAATGCAAATAAATCAAAATTCATTTGAAACCGCATAAATCACAATGCCAACTTTAATAACATTCCTATTTGCTTTTGCATGCCGCAAAAAGTTGGCCATGTCTGTGCTACAAAATGCCAAAAACTCGCTGCCACAAAATAAGTTTTGGCCGTTATCTCACGTTTCATGACCAATTTCTGCACGCTGCGATGGCTGCAAATGAATTGATTTTCAATTTTTATGCTTGCCTAAACGGAAAATTTGTGCACATTACAACAAGGACAAGCCGAAGGACTAAAGCAATCAGTTTTCAGGGGTGTTCGAAAGCGTCACTGCATTTATTATGAATGAAGACAGCAAGGAGATACTCTTATGGCCAAAAGTAAGCCTACATAGGGCACCCCACGACTGTCAACATTCTCAGGAAAGGTTCCCTCGAAATTGTTCATTCTGTTCTGTCCCGTAAGTTAAATGCAAATATACACACAAAATTTCCATATATATTCGTTTATGAATTTGTTTTCGGTTGAAAAGCTTAGGGAAATTGCCTGGGGAACGCTAAAATTATGTTTACTTTGAAACGAAAGAAATCTTTAAAAATGTAATTTTAAACTGGGGCCAGCATTCTGGTTAGTATTTGTTATGCTAATTTACAAATTTTCCCAAATAATTCATTTCATTCTCGCTGTGTTGACAGCCTCATTATGCAACGCCACTCCATAATCTGTTGCAAATTGGCAACGATACTGGCACTTTGTTTGTCTGCATGTGAGTTGTGTTGTGGTTGTGGCAAATTGTTATTAAAATATCAGCACACACGACTACATTTGGCTGCACAAAAATAATTTATTTTTAAGGTTTTAAAAGGATGCAAGTGCACGGTTTCATGGTCTTTGCTTGCTTCTGATGAAGCTTGTCTTTTGTTTAAATTTTTCATGAACTTCAAACACCGACATGGGAAAATTAGAAATTCTTGCAGCTCTCGTGTTGAGGGAGTCTTTTAAAAATTAATAGGGGGTAACTAGAGAATGAAGCCCTTTTAAAATCCTTTCCAATTTAGGGGTACACCAGAACTAATCACTTCCGCATCCCCGGGCATGCTTGTGGCAAGCCCAAAGCTCTTCAATTTTGACCTTCTTTCTATGCAGACTCCTTGTGACAGCTTTAGCCAAAAATACCACTCATTTTTCGATTTGATGTTTTTGATAAATGACCCGACCGGCGCAGAAAGTTAGAATTTCTTTTCGGGCTAAAGTTACGCAGAAGATGGATATCTTCCAGCTAATCACTTAACGCGTCCCGCGTGGATATCTCAGTCTCCTGTTGCTTAAAATACATTAATCAGTTTATGGCCAATCAATCAAAGCTGCAGTCTCGAATGACAATGAAAGACTAAACCGCTTTCAAGCTAATCCATAGGATTAAACAGAATATTGTATCAGAAAGCCAAAATAAACTCTTTTTGTAAAAGTAGCATAAAATGCATTACCTTTTTACTAAAGTTTGTTAAGAATCTTTGCAATAAGCTGGATCTTTACAGGATGCCAGATAAGTATAAGCAAGATTCTCTTGGCTTGAACTACTTACCAGTGTTTCACCCACCCCATGTCCTTTGTGTCCTACGGGGGGCTCTCAGGTGTTGTGACTTGGGCTAATGACAAAGTTCCTTCTGGCATTTCCCTTATTATTTTTGTTTTACCCTTCGGTAAGTTTGTTAGTTGGCTTTGTACTTTGTGGAAGCTCAGTTGTGTGGGTAGTTATTTGTTGGCTGAGCAGCTGTTGCACTTACAAGTGCCACCACGGCGTATGGGTGATGCGGAGCATTGGATGAAAGGTGTTAAGAAGAGAAAAGGGATAAAATGGAATGAATAAGTGACTTGGCTCTGCTTATTTGTCAGTAACTTTTCGACAATTTAATTTGAGTTTTCAGCACAATCTCTTTGATTACAGAGGGTGAATATTCGGCTTCAGGGCACGCCGAAGTGATTACTCATTTAACTTTAATTTAACCTTCAATCAAGCGGCTGAACCCTCTGACCCCTCGCCCCACACAATAATAATCACAAATAATTAAAGTTGCCTCATCATTGTCTGGCCGAAGCGGAGAATCCATAATAAAACAGTTCAAGCACCTTTCATCAAAAGAGGAGGTCGTGGAGGAGATAATTGTCTTACGATGTCCTGGGGGTGGCTTCCCATTCAGGCCGCGGGAAACCATCAATTGAAACATTTTCACTTTCATTCATCTTTGACCGCGTCTGACTTCTGGCTGGATTAAATTAAATTTGTGTGTTTTCCGTAATTAATTCGGCAAACCCAAAAGCCAGTCAAGCAAACAGAATTCTACGCCCGACTGGTTTTCCTTTTAAATTTCTTATTTTAAGGAAGATTTAACCGTTGATATAACAATCACGGAACCCTTCTCGAGGCGAAGGACAATGAAAAATGCAACCCGAAAAGTAGGCAAGGCTTTTTTCAGCTTCCGTGTATTTGTGACGAGCATGTCAAGTGGCCAAAGAACACAGCCACAAAAACACTGAGGCACATACACGAAGTGACAGAAGGGCTCGAACCAATTAGCACAGGAACTGTCAGTTATGGCCAACTCTCAGGCACGTGCATTTGATGGCCAACGATAACCAGAAAAAACTTTGGCCAAGACATAAATCTCCGGTTCGGGGTAAGTTCGAAAAAAAAAACTCAAAGAGGCCTTCAGCAACAGGCGTTGCACGAACCGCAGATGACAACCAGTTGGGGAAACATTCTCAACATTTTGACAGATAACACGAACCGCAAATTGGGGTGCCGCAAGTCTTGTTTTTCTCCCACGGTTTCTGGCCTTTTGCAATTTTAAGTGGTTTACACTCTTTCAAGAAACGCTATCTATATACGAAATATCTGAAGCCCCTAAATCTCTAGCTACACAAGTATATGCCCATTTTTCATATCCTAATCTCTTCTAATTTTTTTCCGCCCCGACGAAGCTCATTTCCTGCTTTCCTGCTCGGCTTCAATAAGTCAATTAAACCTGACAGGGTGAAGGATAGGCGCAAATGTGAATCTGGTTCTAGTTTCACACCACATCTCCATTACCCCCACTCTCAGTTCCACAGAGATGTATATGTAGAGCCCATCTAACTGGTTCAGAAATGCGAACAATGGCTTTGGGGGAACACATTCATTTCCCTTCATGATGGAGCAGAAAAGCGTTGAGGATTTGTGGGTTGATTAAATGGCTTAAATGCATATTCGGTCATGGAAATTAATAAAAATTTTAATTAAATGCGGCTATAGACACACGAAAATTGCCAAGTCTGCACGTGACTGGGCAAACAATTTCCAGTTGGCTCTCAGTACCCGGGGGAACGCAGTTAAAAAGCAATTGAAATGCTATTGAAACATGGCCAAGGGGATCTCCTGGGGGCTGAGCCTGACATTGCATTGACCTTTGCCAAATAGAAAATATGTACGTTAGAATCAATAATTAAGTGAAAAGAAAGAAAATAAACATCTATATGTATCAGCCATCAGAAAAGAAGTCACAAATGACCAGTAACAATAAAGGAGGCTAGAAAATTAAGGCGATTGAAGAGCAAACACAATGAAGCGTGTTTCATACTTCCAGGACCTGACAGGCTCCTGGCATGGCAGTCACTGGCAGAGACAAATGGCAGGCGGGGAATATGAGCGGCCAAGAAGTGCGAAACAATTGCGTGCTAAACGCCAAAAACGTCAAAGTAACACAAAAAAATGGAGCAGCCGGGCAGTAAATGGTAAGATAAATGGCCCAAGTCTATGGATCTATGGACTATGAAGGAAAAACTGCTGGAAAATGGAGGGGAGTGGGTCGGGTTGGAGGCCGGAAAAGCGGGGTCATCGAAGCTCAATGGATGTTGACTTGACTCCCGTCGTGGTGGTCTCATTTCTTTTCAATGTTTCAAGGTTTACACATTTTTAGGTTTTTAGAAGTTTTTTTTTTTATTATTATCCATAATTTTGTTGTATTTTTTTTAAGTTTTATTACAAATTGAAATTGTCCAGTATATGTATGAATAGGCCGAATGTTGGATCTGTTGTTGGCAGATATACATATCCCTTATACAGTTTCTCAATGTTTCCGTTCTCCATGACAGAGACGATATTTTTTACAAATACAAATAGTTGTATAAATATTTTATATATAGCATCTAAAATATACAAAAAAGGAACAATTTATGATACCCACTGGTGTTCGGATGGGCACTCATAAGTTGGTTTTCATATTTTATTATAATAAATGTAAATCGATTTTTTTTCATATTCTTGCACTTAACATTTAAGACATGATCTTAGAAATCCAGAAATAAAAATAATAGAGAGTTTGAGTTTTATATTGTTGTTATTTTTTTTATCTACGGGAAATACGCACTTCTTGGCAAATGTTTTTTTGTTAAACCTCCGACAAGGATTGGATGGTGCTTTCCATCGGAGGATTTTTGCAGTTTTGAAAAAATTCAAACGTTGTCTGAGGATATTGAGACTAAAAAAAGGTTTTTAAACCTTTTGCTACTGTTGACTCCACTTCTCAAGATGTTATAAATGGTAGTCAAAGCTTTATATCGTTGTTTTGGGGCCCCTTGTGATGCATTCGTCGTTGTTCTTCAGGATGTTCTTGTTGTTTAAAAGTTCGTTGTTTCGTTCGTTTACAAAATTGAGCGGTGAGCTGGGGGAATCAAGATTTAAATTACATTAATTGCTTTAAAGATTTTAATATAAACATATAATAATAATAACATATAAAAATAAAAAGTATAGGGCGTGCATAGGATTTTGGTTTGCAAATCTACAGATGTTATCAACAATTTTCAATCTTTCGAAAGAGTTATTTAGTTTTGCCTTTTTATGTACTATTTGTGGCAAAGAATAAAAATAATAGATCGATTTATAGTCATAGAAAATGTTTAAATCAATAATTATTAAAGTTAGTTACTAAATTTTTATTTTCATATTTTTTTTTTAGAAAAACCGCCAAGTGATGCATCCGGGCTAATACCTTTGAACATATCACGTTATTTCAAACCATCAACAAGGTAAGAATATTTTCTATAAATTTTAATATTTTTAATGGAAGTTTTCTTTTAAAACCAAACTAAAGAACTCAATCATTTGTCGGTACTTATAATACTAAATTTTGTTAACAATTCTACATGTTTGGAGGTTCTACTAAATAGGATACTACAGGACATCATTTTTGGGGATTTCGCAGGTGAACACTACAAGTCATTTGTGTAGTTTCTACAATGAACAAATTTATACTTTGCACATGCTTGTTTCTTTTGTCATTTTCTTACCAATTTGTTTTTTAACAGTTCGTTACATGTAATTTATGTAAAATTAAGTACAAAAAAATTACAGAATTGCTATATGATTGATATAGCGTCGCTTTGTTATTATAGCTAAACGATTTGTGATTTTGTATCTAGATTTATTTTAGAAAAAATCCTCTTCCTCAGCTGTTTATGTGAGATGTAAAAATATAAATAAAATAAAAATTATAATGTTAAAATCCGGTATTAGATAATGTTTTTTAAGGGAATACAATCAATTTTGCAGAACACGAAAGAAAGTTTTCATTTCATTTCTAGAATATATTTTGAAAATCTTTTCCAATATTGAGAGTCTAAATTTTTCTATCAATTTCCTTCATGCTTTTGTGAGAAATATCCAATTTCTTTCTGGGGAATTTAAATATCAATCGAAAAATATATACAAATTTTGTATTTACTATATTTACAGAAGAGATCTTACCAATCAATTATTATAGCCAATAAACAAGTATTAAACCCTCATATCTTTTTAAATTTTTGTACGCCTCAATTGGTAAGACCATAGTGGGAAACCCGGTTCTAGAAACCATTAAGATAACTTACGTGTCAAGGGTCTGGCTGGGTGCTTGGACCACAAGTAGCGGTTCTTCACCGGCGACAAGTACGAATCACGGGCCACGGGGCTCGAGGCACGGGGCACCGAGGTGGCACGGAAGGGCACCAGGTCATCCACGTCCCACCAGAAGGGATCGCGCACGATCGAGGAGACCGGCAAGTTGGGGCTGGGGCTCAGCAGATCCCTGAAGCGGTTGCGTGGGTGGAAGATCGGAAGTCCTATTTGTTGGCATTTTCAATAGCAGTATTTAGTCATCAGAGATGGTAGTGTTTCAACGTTTATTTTTATGAAATTGTTTCATTGTGGTGTTGTGCGTTTTGATGTTGCAACCAGATGTTGAAGTTGTTGGGTTTTCAGATAGTATTTGTTTGTTTGCATTGTTGGTTGTTGTAGTTGCAATGTATACAAGAAGAGCAGAAAGAAAAATATTTTTTGTTTTTGCTATGTTTTTTAAACTAAAATAAAAGTAAATTAAATAAAAAAAAACAACGCTTTAACAATCAACAATAATTTGATATTTTCCATGCGTATGTTGGGGTTTCGTTGTGGAAAAAATACCAAATGGAGGTATGGCATAGGAGTTATGATAGATAGAGGATATAAAAAAGGGTGATTCGATAGAAAGTGATATATGGAGAGATGGGCAGGCGCTACAGTGAGCACATCGATAAGCGAACCAGTGGGTATATGAAGGTGGGGTTCTGGTTTTTGTTTCTATAGAAGAATTTAAACCGATTTAAAGTTAGCTTTGACTGTTTTTTAAGAGTTACAAGATTGATTGTTAATCGGTTATTGTTTGTTAATCACAAGTTAGATTTCATTACAAATCAGGACACTTGCAAACATTGTTTTCAGTTTATCTTTTTAAAGAAAAGAGTTTAACAATTATTACACCAAGTGAGTGATCATTAACCGATTTATAATCTCTTGATTGATTTTTAAGTACAAAGTTAAATCGATTTGCATTCAAGAACTAAAAGCACGGCGCTTACTGTTCGGGCAATACTGTAATAATTTTGCTGATGCTGCTGGCAAAGTCAAGGCACAGGACACGACAAGGAATCGTGCTGGCAAAGCCAAAGAGTGGAAATAATTTTGACAAATTACATGGCCACATAGGTGGAGAGAGAGCGAGTGTACGAAAAATATGGCGACCATTTTTCAACACGTTCGTCGTCTCCATCATCGTTTGTCTCGACATTTCGAGAGGCAACAGAAGCCGACAGGAAAAAAAAATCATAATCACATAAAAGTCAACAAATAACACGCAAATTTCGTCTCTTCATGTATCAAGACAAATTCGGATTCTCATTTTAGGTTGTTTTTTTTTTGAGGCAGGGATAGAAAAGTGAATTTTGGTTTTTACCCTCAGCATCGTAGGCGACTTCAGTGGGACGGGGTCCCCAGCGACCGGCTTTGACGGGAGTGGGACTTGGCGAGCCGGCGCGCTCGAAAATACCGAGTGATCGGCTGGGGGCAGCAGCAGCTGCGGCAACATCAGCTGCCGCCGATTCAGCCTCGGCGATCGTGGGCAACTTACTTTCAAAGAGTTCATCCAGGGGTTCCAGCGAGCTGGCGCGGAAGCTGGGACGCGTGAACGGAGCCAGGCTGGTGGCACGGTCGAAGACCGACGGTCCGCGGGGCACGCTGCCCTCGCGGCCCCAGTAGGTTGGTGGGGGCACGTACGGCTCGCTGCCAGCGCGGGTGGTGCGGCTGGGGCGGAACGGCGAGGCCGAGCGACGAGCTGTAACCAGAATATACATATGATATGATGATTTAAATAACTATCCATAGGCTACAAAAGATTCTCAAGAATAGCAATGCTTTTACAATTTATCTGGGAACTTTTTTTTAAATGTATATTTTAATGGTTTATTTTAAGTCTTAAGGTTTTAAAGAAATTATTTAGTAAATATTTTTTGAGTTATTTTAATATTAAATGAGAATCAAAAGTTACAACTTCTTTTCAAAAACATTTTACGTTTAACTGTCGAAACCTTCGTCGAATTAGCCTGGTCTACATAGTGATGGTCTTTTAGAAACTCTTTTCTTACCAATTACTTACCAGAAGAAAAATCATCACCAACCAACGATGCTTACACAAAAATGTAGAACAGAAATGAAAAACAAACAACATCCTGAACAAAATACATAGTAAACAATTACACAAAACTGTGGGCACGAAACACAATTACAATGGAGGATATAATAGAATTTTTGATTTTGAATTCCTCGAGGGAAATTCTTAAATGATCTGCCATTAGAGAAAACACATAAGATTGGATTGGACAATTCGTTAAATATTTCATTTGGTTTTGCATAAATATTTTTAGTTTTAATAGTAGGTTTTGATTGAGTATTTCGGCAGTTTATGTACAGGCACCGCACAGTGTAATGTGAATTTCTATGCTTTGATTTTAGTGGTGATACGAGGGACTAAGTAGACGAAAGACAACAGCGAACTGGACGAAAGTAAGAACATTGACTTATTAATATCGAAATGCGAATGATTTGTTAGAGAATTAAGGTCCAAACAGAGAGACTCCTTTGCGAAGAAATAGTTCCAAAACACAAGTTTTCTTGATTGTTATTAAATTGATTTTTTTTATTAATAATGTTTTGTTTGTTTTTTTTTCGGTTTTTTAAATTAATTAAAGGTCAGAAATAGTGATCTTTGTTGAGGTATAGTTGCCAAGGGCTACAGTGGGCACGAATTGTCGATTTAGCGGCAAAAACTATGCTCTTTGGTACAGCAGCTGTTAGAAAGAAGGCTTAAAATATTGGGGGTAAGGATGGGTTTGTGGTTTAGGTACGAATGAATGGATGGGGTCGTTAAAAATGTTTATATTAAATATATTAAAGGCTAAAATTAAAATTAGAGTTGTATTTTTTTTTTATAAATGTTTTGTTGTTGGTTTTATTACTTTTGTTGTTGTTGATTTTGTATAAGTTAATAATTAAAATAAAGCATATGTATATTTAAATATATCATACAATGAAACATTTAACGAAATTTTCACTCGATTAGACTATTGCTGAGTTTTTGGGGGGATTTCTTTTTACAGACAGATATTGAATACAATTATTTTCGTTTTTCTTTTCGGGTTTTGACAGATTTTGCATTAATTTACAAGAGTCTTACTAAAAGCTAAGCAAACAAAAGTAGTATTGTTTTTCTTTAACGCTCAGCGCTTCAAACTTTCAGAGCTGCAAAATAGGTTTCAAACAATAAAGATTTTAGACAAAAATATAATCGTAACAAAATTGAGAAAAGTCTGCATCAGTGTTTTCTTATTCTTTTTTTTTTTTTGGCTGAATTTGAAAAAAAATTTCGTTGAGTTCGTTTTTGGGTGTTTTTGATTTAGATATCATTTGCTATTTTTATGTTCGTGCTTACATTTCGTAAATTAATTTTAAATTCTTTTCGTTGATGATGTTGTTGTGTTGTTTACTTTCCTGTTGTTGTTGGTGTTGGTTTTTTGGTTTTCTGGTATTTTGGATTTAGAAAATGTCTTTGATATCCTTACCCTTGTTGAGCTCCGCCAGCAGCTTGTCCTCTGGCTCGTACTCCAGGGGCACCAGAGCGTTGGGGGTGAGTGGCTTGTCCTTCAGGTACAGACCATAGCGAGATGGGTACCTACCAGGACATTTATAAATTTGTTAACAAAGAACTATATGATTGAAGGATGGAATTCCCACCTGCGCTCGATCTCCTGCATGCGCTTCAGATGATCATTCCAGGCCTTCTCTGCGTCGTAGTTGGCTGGAACTGTTTTCAAAAAACAAACGCGTTAGAAAACGAAACTCCTAAACAGTGTTTCCTTTTTAGATTTTGTTAATCCTTTTCAAAAGCATGACATAAATACAGCAAACAAACACAACAAGGAGGTGCTTACTGAAAATGGTATCATTTTAGCGAGGGCTCACACGTCGTATGCGCAATATTCGATACGTACGCATTCCCGGAAAGCAATGTTAGCAAAAGCGGCAAAAAAATAGAGAGAGGGAATCGAAAAATCAGTAAATCTTTAATCGCATTAAAAAGCTATTTCTCAACCCAATGCCAGATGAAGTAGAAGCTTAGGTTAAGTGTTAGGTCAAAGTATGAAGTTTATAGCAAACCCTTGATGACACGGATGATGGACTGATTGGCTGTTTGGCTGATGGATGGACTGACTGATAAATGGATGGATAGATGGAGCCCCACAAAGAGAGCAACACCAGATTGTTTCAAGATTTTATTTCACACACAAAACACATACATATATGTATATACTGGCTACCAAATAAATCATTTTCTGATTTCGTTATTTTAACTAAAATCTACACAAAATCGTTTTCACTAAATTTAAGTTGTCTTTTGCCTAGAGAGAACAACAACAAATATATATATAATAGTTATATATATAAATATATATAGAGTGCGCATAAAATATCAAAAATATATACATCGCTCGGATATATATGTGTATTTATTTTGACGACACACACATTTACGTATATTCTGAAACATTTATGAAAGAGAGAAAAAGAAAAAAACAATTGGTTAGTCCAAAAAAAAAAGCGAAAAAGAAAACTATAATTTAGGCAAACGGGGTACCAGGTTGTTGAAAAATATCGGATGTTGTGGGAGGAAGCTCAGTGGTATGGTATATAGGTAATGTGCCTCTGTGTAAATGTGTGGAAATTCGGAAAAAAGAATTTCGCTCCTCATTGAGGGCCGCCGCCACAGTCATTTGATCCCAGAGCACGCACCAAAAATTGAGTCGAAAAATCCTCTTATGTACCTGACTCGATATTCCGATTTATATAAACATATATATAAATATTTCTCTTGTGTTTTCCCTGCCTCTGGGTGTAAGTGTGTGTTGTGAACATGTGTGTATATTATGTCCAACGTTTTTGTTGTTCTTCGTTGTGAGGCCTTTTGCCAAAAATCATTCATTGACGTAATAGTATTTTGGCTTTTTGCGCTGGCATTTATATTTTTAAATTTATGAAATCATAGCGCGCACACAAAGACGGCCATCGGAACAAAAATAATGGCTTGGATCGGGAGAACATCCAAGGTGTTGTCGAAAGCATACTTTTGTGGCAGGCATCGATGAAAATGCAGTTCAAAAATGATCAGCGAGTGAAAATTAAAATGACTGAACTGAATCAGACAGATTGATTGATGGTGCATCGAAGAAATGCAGAAAAGCTGAGGGTGCATTCGACTTGGCCGAAGCTTTACATAACCTTGCAAATTATGTATTTTGTATCATATCCTTAAAAGTTACACACTTTGCAAGGCCTTGGAAAAAGTATAAATTTCAAAGCTGTGTAAAGAAGTTAGGCGGGATTTTTGGCTTAAACGTTGTTCAATCGAAATCTCAACTTACTTGTTCGGCTGTAGTGATGATCGTAGATGGCACGTGGCGAGTAGCCGTAGGTGTCACGGCTCACTGGCAGATATCTGTAGCCAGAGGACTGGACGCGCTCGTTGGCGGTGGAGGGCTCGTCGTAGATGCTCCTGTATGTGGGCGACTCCAGGTAGGAGCTGTAGGGACGAGAGGCCCTTGGCGCCTCGTGGGCGCGGATATCCTCAGAGCCTATAAATAGAGGTTTGGATAACCCAGCGTTAGTTCATTGCTTTTCAAATATACATTCAAATATTTCAGCTATTTTCACTATTTGGCTCAATGCCAGCCAGGCGAGAACAACAAAATTAAGAATCAAGAAAAAAAAATAAAGTTGATTTCTATTTTGTGTGGTGTAGTGTCTATCATAGATACACAGATATTTCTTTCGATGAGATTTTTGCTTTGTTTAAGGCCCGACCACATATTTTAAATTTTTGCTCTCTATATACTTTTGACTGCGAAAAGCTTTCTCAACGGAGCGTATCTAAGAATATAGCTCGGCTGATATGACACCTGCCAAGAGAAATGGGCCATACACACATATGTATATGGGCTAAGCTATTTTGCTCAAAGTTTAATAATATATCCTCAGCTCGAATTTTCGATATTAACCAACAGGTAACAAACTATATTGTTGGGGCTCTACTTACCCTTCAGGGATCTGATGTAGGATTGCCAGAACTTGGCCTTCTTGCTGGGGCTCTCGTTGCGCCCAATCATTTCCAAATGGCTCTTGAACATTTTGATCGATTTGTTTTGTTCTGTTCACGAAAAAATCGTTGAACTCGTTCGCTGAAATAAAGTTGGGAAGAAAGTCAGCACAACTATTTCCATTTTATTAATATTAATTATTATTATTATTATTTTATTTTTTTTTTAGTTGTCTATTTTCCGAGAAATGCCAGGCAATACACAGCACGAATTTAAATCGGTCTTCCCTCGTTAGATGGAATGATTTTTCGGTTTAGTTTTGCTTTGGCTACGAAAGTCTCTCAGTTCGAAAATAAACAGACTGTGTGCCAGTTTAGAGCAGTGCAAAGTTTATAAAATATATAGATACATCTAATATAATGGTATGAGAAGACGGCAGCAGCCAACGCAAGATCAATCTCACTAAAAATAAATTTATTTTTCTTCAGTTTTCCGATTTTTGGCTGCTTTTTCTGATTTGCTCAAATATAAAAAAATTTTCTTGGGTTAAAAATTTCACACTTTAATCTATAAGACGTTTCTAGGTTCATACATGTGTACGTGTCTAAGAATGTGTATGTGTGGGTGTTCAAGTGTGAGTGTGTATCTGAGAGATGCAGCTAAATTTTAATTTATTTTTAAATGTCCTTGAGTTGAATTCATTCTGTTATTCGTTATTCTGGCTTTCATCGGAATTTACTTCAATCTTGAAGAACAGTGCAAGGAATTTTCGAAAATTCAATCGAGAGATTATTTAAAAGTTATTTTGTATTAAATCGAAATCAAATCAATTCATTCACTTCACAAACTCTTGTAATATTTTCACAATTTGGTATCAAATGTCATTGAGTATCCAACTCTATTATATAATCAATGTCTCTTCCATTTGGAATTATAATTTTTATCATATTTCCAAAACATGTCACCAGGTAATTATATTTCTTCACAATACTTTCGATGGACAGTGCACTTTATTTTATTATCAATTTTATTTGAATTGATTTTATTGAATTATTTAATTTTTGTCTCATGTCTTTACTCTGGATTTGTATTTATGAATTTGTTTCGGGTTCGCTTACAATTTAAAATTACTCCTAAAAAATAGCGATCTATCCTCAACGAAGAATTTTTTCAAACTGCAAACCCCATGAAAATTTGCCTCACCAATTTTCCTCGTTTCAGAATTTTGCCATTCCGTTTCGGCCCCGAAAGCACGGCGCATTCCTTTACGGCGTAGGTTGCCCCATCCGTGTGCCCGTCGAGATGCATGTCTTGGTGGCGAAAGCTCCGGGTGATCGGTTATGGGAAAAGCTTTCTGCAAAGATCGTGGGGTTGTGCTGGTTCTGGTGGTGGTGGTGGTCTTTTCGCCCACGGCGCCCACTCATTGTTTGCAAAGATTGAAAACTGAAAACTCGATGACGCGCTGCCGATGATCATAAAAAGAGAAAACCATCTAATTTATCCCACCATACATATGATCCTATATTTACTTGAGAAAATCCCAATATTATATTATTTTGTTTGATCGTTGTTTTCTTGCCTCCCGGCACTTTTCTTTATTTATAATTTAAACTTTGCTCTCATTTTTTATTTTCCCTAACTGGAATGGCCAAAGGAAATGCGTCAATCGTGTTATTGAATTGATCAGTGAACTCTAGGACTCTAAATAATTGTCATATACTTTATAAATTAAACTGAAAATCATGGCAACATTTTCTTTAGAATCTTTACTTATATCCTATTACGGTTCAGTTTATTTATGTTTGATATTTGTTTAGGTTTTCCACTGCCCACTAATTAGTTTCCGGATAATGGAAAAATCATTTCCACCTCAGGCCCACACAGTTAAATAAACAAAATTAAATATGCCAGTGTAAATATCAGATACCAGATACAAATTTAAACTGAATGTCCTTAGAATTTTTCAAATCCTGATGGAAGAATACCCTTCTTATACACTGTTTAGGTTTTCTTCTCATAAACACAAATTATTCAGCAATTAAATAACAATTTTCAAGGGAAATTCCTCGAAAAATGTATAAACAAACCCGGGGAAAGCTTCTCCAGTCAGCTACGATTACCACGTGCTGGGTTGAAGGGCAGATCAGCTTCCAGTAAATAATTTTTCTATTTTTATATCCAACTTTATGGAGAGGAATTTGACCTTTTCAACCGTGCAGATCGTTTATAAAGCTTCCTGGCATGTGTTCCTCCCCATTAACTCAAGGCCAGATGCAATTGCAATGAAATGTTCTTTTGACTTTGTTTGTTTACCTTATATAAGAGGTATTTAAAATTTTTACCCTTAAACAAACTTATTGAACGTCTCGATTTAATCTTGAACTTGACTTTCAGTTTGATGAACCAAACACGTAAACCGAATAAAAAATGCACAAAAACTATTGGGAAATACCTGGCAAAGGTTTTTCGGTTTTGGCCCAATCATTGGGTGTGGGGATGTGATTAAACTTTTACTTTCTGGCACACTTTTTTGGCTGCTAATTTGAATGAGTTGAGCAACTTGTTATTTCACTTTCCCTCTATTCGAGTTTAATTATAGTTTAATTGGGTTTGATTGTTTGCACAAATCCATTGAAGGGCAAATTCAAATTTCCTTCTTAGGATTTTGTTAGCCAGAAAAATCAAATCAAGAAATAATCTTTGGCTCTTGAAAAATGAGGTCAGCATGTAAGCTCATTATTTGGCGACACTTGTGTCGGGAAATTGTGTTTCTTACAAATTCCTCATACTTTATTATACACAACTCAATTATAAATTACATTGTGCGACGCCTGGGGGGGTTGGTTTTGGGCTGTCACAGTGAAAAGACGGGTGACTGAAGAAATTCCAACAAATAATTTATTTACATTTTATTACTCGCACACTTGGGGTCTAATAAATCGCCTTCCCAATGTGAAGGTCGATTGCAGTGTTTGCAAGTGAAATGAAACGCAACTAAACGAAAAACAAATTATTGAAATCCTACAATGTCAACACGGCGTATGAGCAATTTGCTTACCAGCGCATAAAGCAAACAACATATTCTCTACAAATATCACTTTGAGTCATTCAAAATTAGTAAAAATAAACAGATTTCAGCCTTTTGTTTGAGTTTGAAATTAAAATAGATCTGATAAATTTTTGAATGTATTTAGAAATACATTACTTTGTTATGCAACTATTAAGCTCTATGGCTAATTGGCTAATTCATAGCCTTGTAGTCAGAGTTCCGGATCAACAGGGACTCACAAATAGAGCCTAATGGTGTTTGATGCCAAAATCGAAAAGCTTTCTCTCGATCTATGCTATTCAGCATACAATATGATTATAAATACACTCATAATGAAACACTAATACATAGTTTCTCGAGATCTATATATAACGAGGTTTAACCTTAACATATAGCAGACACCTTCAAATGAATTTTTCACGAAATATAAAAATAAATATGTGTACTCGATATATGCCGTGTGGATATATGCTCTCGCATGATTTTGCAGCTGAAATCTGTATCTATAGCCTATGGCTATATGGCTATAGCCAGCTAGGGTCTGATCTGCTCTGATCACAAAAACCCGACATCGGCCCACGCAAATGAACTTGAAAATTAATTGTTTCTGCAGCCACACAATTGCAGATCAGAGAATGGATATATGGGCTCTATGTACACGACACGGTATATAGAAAGATATATTGTATGTACACTTGTTCAATGCCAGTAGGGGTTTGCCTTCCATAATTTATTTGGCTTTCGTATACTGTATGCTAGAAAAACAGATTTTGTTTATAATTTCATTAAAACTGAATGCCAGATGAATTTTTCCTCAGACTGGAAAATTGAGAATGAAAAAACCTCACAAATTACTTGGCAAACATTTTTTTCATCTGACATTTCTCATCAGCCATTAATTATATTAATCCCCAAGGACACTAGGGTCAATTCGGTAACGACAAACTATACTTGTATGGAAAATGAAAAAAGCATGACCTTGAATATAGTAGAAATTTTGGTTTTTGGCTGATGGATTGATGATGGCCAGACAAACTGGCAAAATAGAAAAATCTTTCGAAACATACAGAACACGTTTGCTGACACTTTGTGTTAAAAGTTTGCAGTCCCAAAAATATGGCAGAGATAGAAAATTTCGAAAGCCATTAACAGTTAGTAAACGACCTGTTCCGAGGCCACCCACTTGCAATTCACTTCCTCCGATCCCTAAGAGAAATCATACATTTATCAATAGGCTGCTGACGTCATGGATATACAACTTGTACATCCTGTTTATTATTTGTGACTGAACATCCACACATTTGGCCATTTATTTGCGATTTGCATTCCATTCATGAAACGGAGAGGAAAGATACCGATCTTTGAACATCCCCCCAACAAATGTGTAATAAAAAGAAAAACATATAGACATATTTATAAAAAGTATATGAAATAAAGATTACTCAAGTCCCATAGGCCCACGGATGACGGCCCCAGTGTGGACAATGTTTTGATATGTTTGGCGCAAGTGTTTCTCCACAAAATTATTTTTTTTATGGGGGTGTCTACAATGCCGAAATGTTAGAAGGTCGCCCCCAAGAAGTCAAAACTGAAACTGAAAGTTTCATTAGGTTTTTTTTTGTAGTATTCTTGTTTTTCCTCTGACAGTAGCTGCTTTTTTTATATTTTTCCTTTTCAGTTTTTTAGCTTGTTCTTGTCTTGTACTTTCAGTGTTTTCGAACATTTTCTGTATTTCTTGCTCGGTTTGCTTTTATAGTTCACACATCAAGATGTCTTATAAATATTTTGAACATTTTTTTACCCAACCTATGTATATATATATCACAAAGATTTATCTCACTATTTGCCTATTTATTTATATAAAAAGAAAGCGAAGAACAACAACGACCGTCTACAGGAAAAAACAAAACATAAAAAATGACTAGAAAATGGAATAGTTGACGTCAAAGGATATGGTTCTCTTTGTTTATATGAAATTGTATAGGTTTTCATTAAAAAAAGGTGCATCGCTAAACATAAACATATATTTCCCACATTAAACCAAATCATACTTTTCCATAATCAAAGCCAAAAAGGGGCTATCTAACCCTGATTCCTGGTTCATGATATAAAGTCATAAACCACAAATTTAAATAAATGGCTTGATATGCATGAATTTATGCTTTTCCCCCTGATTTGCCATGGGGCGATATATATGTATTTGAAGGGATAATGGGCCCGGCTCAAAGCGCCTGAAATGACTTTGTGACACAACAAATGGCAATAAGCCATAAACAATGCGAACTGTGAATTATGGCTGTAAAGGACACAAATGAAGGCTCATACAAATGGCCACCTGCAGCTACGAATTCGATGCGTCCTTGGTCGGTCCTGCCTCGCAGCCTTGCTGTAATTTTCCCGCAATTGTTAGCTGGTTGTTAGTTTGAGGTATCAAGCTCGAGATGGCATCTAAAATAAATTCCCAAAGGAGTGCAGCCAAGTGCATGACTCAATTTACAGTTGACAAATTGACTTAGTTTGCCAATCGAGACGAACATATGCGGAGTGCATCCAAGGATACCCAAGGTGGCTGGCAGGGCTGGCTGAAACATATGCTACCAAAAGCCAGTTCATTTGCAACGTGCTGCAAATATCTCACGCTGGTGTCGGAGTGGAACTTGGCAATGTAATTTATTCTTAGAATAGAAGACATGGCCGCGGCAAGAGCCAGAGCCAGGTGCGTTTCTTTGAATGCAATTCAATTAGCCCAGATTCAAAGCAGGGCGAATAAATAGCAATTGTCCTTGCAACTAAATTGTGGATACAACTCAATTGGAAGCTGGCTAAATTAACAGCCACTTGGGCCAACTGCAATTACCTTCGTTCTGCCCCAAGGATAATGAACTTGTGGTTCTGTTTTGTCGGAAGATACAAAACTAGAACTTTTCTTCAACTATTCTCTCTTCTATGTGGCTCAAATGCCATCTATATAAATGACTGATTTAATGAGTTTCATGTTGTTGTTTACAAGTAAGCCACCATATAGACCCTTATAAAGTAATTACTTCAACTAATTGAAAGTACTTTATGACCTTTTCCCATGGCTACTGGCTTAAAAGGTCAATATATTGCCGTTTTTTAGACTAGTTAGGGAGTGACGCTGAAGTTATTTCAAGTCTACTAGACTAGAGTCTGTATAGACTCACTTTATAATGAATATTTCTGTCACTTCATCTGCAAATGTTGCCAAATTAATCCCACAAACGTGCTGGCATTTCATGTCTCTGGCACCGAGGCTCTTCCACTTCCCATTGGCCTTGTTTGGAATTGTTGGTCTAAACCTGCAAAGAGGCGGTGAAAGCTTTGGCGAGACAGTTGGCTCTTTGGATGAATAGTCAGATGGATTCGTTGACACCCCGAATCAACAGAAATGATGGGAAAATAATATGATTGTGGCTGGAGTGGAGGCGCCGAGTGTCTGGCCCATAGAGACCAGATTTGGGAAATTGGGAATTTTTTAAACGAATTCACGGTCCAAGTGGATTCAACGGAATTGGCACAGTTTTTCGGGCAGACTGAAGCCAGCTGGGCGTATGTGTAATGCAGAATCCATCGAAGGAAAATCATAAATTGTGCTAAAAAGAAAAAGTATGCCAAGCCATAAAGAAGAGCCATAAAATTAGCTGACAGAACAAAGTATTTCGATTGGGAATCTATGTCAAGGATTGAGGAAATATGTATTTTTTTCTTTTTGGGTGAGGGCACTTGATTGAGTTCTGAAATATATACATAGTGGGAATTGGGAAAGAATAATTTCCGGCTTGCTTAATTATTTTCTACCAAGTCAAGAGTGTCCATCAATCGATTCCTGTTTCAATTAATAGGTCCAACCATCAATGTCAGCCGAGTGAAGCATAAGGAAGCTACTCCCCCAGCTTCAAGATGTACGGATTGCTGTTGGAGAACCTCTCCGAGTACATCAAGTCCGTGTATGGCGAGGAGAAATGGGAGGACATCCGACGGCAGGCTGGCATCGATTCGCCCTCCTTCAGTGTGCACCAGGTTTATCCGGAGAACTTGCTCCAGAAGTTGGCCAAAAAGGCGCAACAGGTGGGTATTGGATATGTTTTTATAAAAATGGTTAACGCTGCGTATGAGCAATAAATACAATCAACGTTTTATGGGCATAACTCATACGAAGTGTGGGCTTTGTTGGAATTATTTCGGCTTATGTCTGAAGGACAATAACATAATATTTTTATTGCCTTTGAAGCTATCTCGACATCCATTTAAAATATAATTTTATCATTTTTATAGGTCTTGGGCGTCTCGGAAAGAGATTTCATGGACCAGATGGGCGTCTATTTTGTAGGCTTTGTCGGTCAGTATGGATATGATCGCGTTCTGTCCGTCTTGGGTCGTCACATGCGCGACTTCCTTAACGGCCTGGACAACCTGCATGAGTACCTAAAGTTCTCGTACCCGCGGATGCGGGCTCCCAGCTTCATTTGCGAAAATGAAACGAAACAGGGTCTGACCCTGCACTATCGCTCCAAGCGGCGTGGGTTTGTCTACTACACGATGGGTCAGATCCGTGAGGTGGCACGTTACTTCTACCACAAGGAGATGCACATCGAGCTGGTGCGGGAGGAGATCCTATTCGATACTGTCCATGTAACCTTTCAGTTGACCTTCGATAATCGGGCATTCACGTTGGCCTCTCTGGCAATGACCCGCGAGGAAAAGCACCTGCCCATCAGCGCTCATGTGTTGTTCGAGATCTTCCCCTTCTGTATTGTATTTGGGTGAGTTTCCTCGATTTTCTTCTAAAAACTATATTTATTAATTTTCCTGACTCTAGAGCTGACATGATCGTGCGCAGTATTGGTAACTCTCTCATGGTGATATTGCCGGAACTTCTGGGAAAGAAAATAACAGCCTGGTTCGATTTAGTGCGGCCTCTGATAGCCTTTAAGTTTCAGACTGTAAGTAGGTTCCCTTGGGGCATAGTTCTTGGTTTTAATCCATTTTTAAACATTAGATTCTCAACCGTACCAATAATATTTTTGAACTGGTCACTGTGGATCCAGTCACTGAGAGACTGGATGCCCAAAGCGAGGACTTACTTCTTCATGATGATGGAAGCGAACCCGAGAAATCATTGAGATTAAAAGGTAGAGTCATTTAAATGAGTTATTATTCCCTTTCTATATTCTGAGTTTTAAGGTCAAATGGTTTATATGGAAAATTGGCGCATGATCATGTTTCTGGGCACGCCAGTCATGCCGGACTTGACTTCTCTAATAACCACTGGTCTCTACATCAACGATCTGTCCATGCACGACTTTAGCCGAGATTTAATGTTGGCGGGAACGCAACAATCGGTGGAATTAAAGTTGGCCCTTGATCAGGAGCAGCAAAAGTCTAAGAAGTTGGAGGAATCCATGAGATTGGTAAGAAAGTTAAACCAAAATCATGAAGAGTTCCTAAAGCCTCTCTATCTTAGTTGGATGAAGAAATGCGTCGAACCGATGAGCTGCTATATCAGATGATACCCAAACAAGTGGCAGACCGACTTAGACGCGGGGAAAATCCCATAGACACCTGTGAGGTACGATAAGATCTATGAGATATTTAATCTTTAACTACAGAACAATTACATTATTTTTCGAGTAGATGTTTGACAGCGTTTCGATCCTTTTCTCTGACATCGTTACCTTTACGGAGATTTGCAGTCGAATTACTCCCATGGAAGTAGTGTCTATGCTGAATGCCATGTACTCTATTTTCGACAAGCTAACGGAACGGAACTCTGTCTACAAGGTGGAGACAATTGGTGACGCCTACATGGTTGTGGCTGGGGCACCCGACAAGGATGCCAACCACGCCGAACGAGTCTGTGATATGGCCCTGGATATGGTCGATGCCATCACCGATCTGAAAGATCCTTCCACCGGGCAGCACTTAAGGATACGTAAGTTATAAAAATAATATATAGTTGTCTAAACAACCATATATTCTGCTAAAGAATGTATAGTCTAAACTAAAAAGGTTAAAGTTTAAACTATAAGTTAAAGAATTCCTCACAATATAGACATGAAGAGGGCCACCCATTTTCACAATTTGAGAGCCCCGCTGAAAATGTAATAAAATATATATAAACTATTTTCTTTTTAAATTATGATGCAGATTGGTGGAAATTTAACTACAAATCATTTAAGGTATTCCTCTCAAGAATCGGATGATTTTTGGTAAAGATATAGCCATCGATGTGGGTCATATTGAGTCTCCCATGCATTTCCCACATTTAGAAGGGGATCCTCCAGAAAATTTGACGAAAAATCTAAAAAATATTTTGTTGTGGGATTTTTATGCAGATTGATGGAGAATCATTCTATAAATCGTTAAAGGTATTCCCCTCAAGAATCGGATGATTTTTGGGAAAGATATAGCCATAGATGTGGGTCATATTGAGTCTCCCATTCATTTCCCACATTTTGAAGGGGATCCTCCAGAAAATTTGACGAAAAATCTAAAAAATATTTTGTTGTGGGATTTTTATGCAGATTGGTGGAGAATCATTCTAGAAATCGTTTAAGGTATTCCTCTCACGAATCGGATGATTCTTGGTAAAGATATAGCCATCGATGTGGGTCATATTGAGTCTCCCATGCATTTCCCACATTTTGAAGGGGATCCTCCAGAAAATTTGACAAAAAATCTAAAAAATATTTTGTTGTGGGATTTTTATGCAGATTGGTGGAGATTCGGTCTAGAAATCATTTAAGGTATTCCGCTTAAGAATCGGATGATTTTTGGCAAAGATATAGCCTTCGAGGTGGGTCATATTGAGTCCCCCATGCATTTTCTACATTTTGAAGGGGATCCTCCGGAATCTTAATGTATTCCGCTTAAGAATCGGATTTTTCAGAGAATCGGATAGCTGCGCTGTGACTAATTTATTAGTTTATCTTCTGCAGGTGTGGGAGTCCATTCTGGAGCCGTGGTTGCTGGAATTGTGGGCTTGAAAATGCCCCGCTACTGTCTTTTTGGTGATACCGTGAACACAGCTTCGCGGATGGAGTCCACTAGCATTGCCATGAAGGTGCACATCTCCGAATCCACAAAGATTCTCATTGGACCAAGCTACAAGATCCTCGAACGTGGGGAGATCGATGTAAAGGGAAAAGGGACTATGGCCACTTATTGGTTGGAGGAGCGCGAAAACAGGCTGCCGCTGCAACTGACCGCCGCTCTTCAAATACATCCATTGTCTCCGGCTCCGCCTGCCTCCGCAGCCAAGGCTATAATGCCGCCGCCGGTTACCAAGCCAGTCTCTCCACTGATTCCAGTGCCAGTAAGTGTGGCAGTGGCAATTGCAGGTGCCGCTCCCATTCCTGTCACTGTTGCGGCTCCAACACCAGCTCCTGTTCCAGCTCCCGTCCCTGTGGTTCCACCAGTGGATATAGTGACTCCATCTGCCAGCATGTCGGGAGTGGTGCTCACTGCCACCAATACTCTGGCTGCAGCTACTCACATGGCGCACCATCAGGTTACAGGGTCAGGAACGGCAGCGGGGGCAGTTTCGTCGGGAGTAGCTGGTGCACCTTCCGCCGCTGGAGCTACAGATGACCGCGGAAGTCGTATCTACTCACCAGTAACCTTCAAGGACGTGGCTCGCCGCAGCATTGCCAATTCCCCCGTGAAGAGCAATGCTGGCTTCGCGGATCAAGAGAAACGTCGTGAATCGCGATCCAATTCTACGGGTCATGTTTTTATGCGTTCGCCATCGGATATTTTTGGTTCCCTCATACTGGACACTGAGGAATTTCTCGAAGATCTGCAGATCTCACGCAGCTCGCTGGCCAACAATAACAACAACCATACACCCGTCTGTGGTTTCAGCCCAACGCCCCCATTCCGGATTGGGAGTGCTCCCCCTAAGCCGAGGCCAAGTAATCCGGATAAGTTTACACCGGAGGAACTGGCCGCCATGGACCAGATGACACCGCCATCCACCGCTCCAGCCCGAGAGACAGCGACCTGCAGCAGTGCATCCTTGGATCGCGAGAAGACGGCCAAGCTCAAGTGAGTTTCCTAGGGAGCAGTCATGGCAGTTATCTCTTAAATCTGATTAGAAAAATTTCCTTTTCCAACAGCAGCAGCATGGATGCAACCACAGCTCCCATTACCAGTGCGGTTCGGGTGTGTCCCATGCGCTCCAAGTCGCCGCCCCAGTCCACACAGTCGATGCAAGTGGTCCAGGCTAGTACCAGTAACAGTGGTAATAATCGGCCAGGCTCCAAGGATTCGGTAACATCCATTTCACTACACTCACCGCCACCTCACAGATCTCATTCGGCACCTGCCAGGTGAGTTTCGGGATCTGAATAACGTAGATCAATTAAAAGCTTTATTTATTAACCCTTTTCTTACCCAAATAGGCCACATTCCATGTCGAAGGCAGCACGAAAAGCCTTCCTGGCGGCCAAGCAAACGAAGGCCATGGAAAAGCTGGACAAGATGATCGAGGAGGTGCACGAGGTGGAGTCTCAGTCTGCAGTCAAAGCGGCCAATATGCGTCTGGCCATTTTTGGCCACGATGGTGGAGGTGGAGACTTGGCAGCCGGTGGGTGCCCGCTCTTCTTGCCACCACCTCCTCAACAGCTGATGCCCAGCTCCATCTCAGATTCTGGCCTATGCAGTCATGGGTAAGTTTTCCATATTTTCAATAAATTTATAAATCAAAAAACTTCATTTCTTGATTCCCCCTCAGCCATAGCCACGCCCCCAGGTGCCATCACGAACCCAAGCTGACCAATAGCCAGAGTTTCCAGCACTCCCCACGTGGGGGAATCACTCATCAGTGCTGCGGTGGCTTTAGCCATGGAAATGGGCGTCACTCGCACCGGATGCACTCAAATGCCTGTAGGATTCTTTAAAGGATTCCTTGCAATCCCTTAATCCAAACCCACTATTCACATCCATATCATGTACAACTGACTCGGATTCTGCTCAATGTTCGCGCGTGCTTAATGGTGTCGTGATTAACTAGTCGGCAATTATTAGAATTTAGATAGTTGTTGAATCTCATAGCTTATAGAATAGATAAAAGATGTACCTAAATGTATTTTATGTATACCCCCAAGTAAATCCAGAAACTATAGCTAGTCAAAACAGGGCTTTAAAATTCGGCAAATAAATGTCCAAAATATGCTAAGAAACTAAACTGTATAAACTGTTGACACTATTTATGTATTTATGTGTATATTTAACCGAACTCTGATCAAAAGATTTCAAATTTCTTGACCTCTAAATATGACAATACAAGAACGAAACAAAATTTCACAAAAATAAATGAAAACGAACCAAACTATGGCTTTTCCACACACTTTCATGAAACCACCTGAGGCAAGTTTGCTCGCAAAGATATACCGCGTTGTTTATAAAAAAAAATATGATATATGTATACATTAATGTACTATAAAACTCTAAATATATTTGTAGTAGTTAAATGTTTAAGAAGTAGACTTTCTGTGAACACGCCTATTAAATAAAATGTTTCAAGAACATAAAGAAAAGCTATTTTTATGCAATTCCTCAGTTCTTCTTATATAAACTATCCAGAGTAAAAGACTTATTATTTCATATACTATCCCTTTAATTTTTAAGAAAACAAATACATTTTTTGAAGTACAATAGACGATTTTAAATAAATGCTTTTAATTTGTTCATTTTTAAATAGTCTGTGAGCAGTTGGTGGCTCTTTTAAATTAAATGCAGTTTTGACAATAGGAAGGATAAAGATTTCTTTAATATGGCAAACTGAATTGAGATTATTATGTGCACACATGGAGATCGTAGATTTGTTCTACCTAACATACTTTTATTCGGAACCTGTTCCATCCTTAATTTAGGCTTGTTACCGGCATATCACATCTAAACTAATTACGGCAAGCGCGTTAAACTTAAATAAAAACTTTACGAAACAACACAATTTAATATATATAAATATATATGCGTGAACTTGCATACACTGTAAGCGTAGGAGTTTTTGTCTTTTAGAGTGACTAGACTTGGTTGGGCTCTCGGAAAATGCTTTCCCGATTGCTGTCGGTGGGTGACCCTGATCAGATTCTCTCGGCCAGGGGCGTCTGTACTACCTCGTCGTTGGAATAAATCAGAGTTCCGTCCAGTGTTTCTATTGTGTGAATGGTGGTCTTGCAATAGAAACACACCTTAGAGTTCATCATGTGCTGCATGATGCAATCGCTGCACGACTGATGTTTGCATGGCGTGAAAACAGCAGTGATGGGCTTGGCACAGCAGATCGGACACAGGGAGTCCTCCGATGGCAGTGTTATGTCCGAAAGAAGGGTCTGCTTCACCCGTAGACTCTCGATTAAGCGGCGCACATTGTCGATCTCATCGCCCGACACATGGGAGGGAACTGTGGAATAGATTTGAGTTCATAGTTTCAGAGATACTTTAAGCTTCCAATAACTTACAATCACTCAAAGCAAACTTCAAAATGGGTGGATCGGCTCGAATGCGCTTCGAATTGTTTGGCAACGGCACCCTCACGTCGTTTGTCAAAGGATCTATGTGTGGCCTGGCTGACGGGTCAAAGTTACCCCTTGGGATGTTCTTCTGCTCCAGCAGTGGCGTTCGTATCTCTCCCAAGGCAAACTCAAGGGTGGCAAACTGAAAGCTTGGATCGGTAAGAAAAGCGCGCGATACACGGGTAACAATCTGCGGTGTCATGTCGTTCTCCATCTCCTCCTGCATTAGCGCCAGGAGAATACCCAAAGCTGCAGTAATAATCGGATAGTGGGTAACCGCATTCAGGTCTGCTGAGCACATATCCACCACAAACTGGAAACACCCAGGAGGCACTGTCACCCGGGAGAGCACTTGGCTGATTAATTGGCAAATGCGGTTCAGCAGAAGATCGCTGTTGGGACGGGAAGCATCCGTGAGAATCTCAGGAGCCACTGAGATGATCAGCTCGAGACATCGCATCAGTGAGACCGTCAATTCGAAGCACATGGAGCAGATCTTAAGCTGCTTGGGCTCAAACAGAGTGTTCTCCTGCCTCTGTGCAGTGTTTTGGATCTAAAAAGTAACTTTTATAAAGACATAGTAGTTCGGAGAGTACACAACCTACCTCCTGCAGCAGTAAAATAAACTCTGAGAAAGCCCAGTTCAACTGACTTAAAACGGAGTTGAGAAAGGCGGTGGCAAAAGGCTCATCCTCTATTAGCTTGGATCCGATCAGACGCTGAAAATGCTTGGATGGATTGGCTGGGGCAACGTTGTGAAGCAGCCCCGTATGTGTCTCGTTTCTGGAGCGACTCCTACACAATCCCTGATGAAGTGGCAGCGATCCACCTTGCCAAACGAAGGGCTGACGGGAGTCCTTATAAGCGTAGCCCTCTCCCATCCAAAAACGGAGTAGAAGCCAGTTACTCTGACCCCAGGCTCTATTCTCATAGGGGCGCAATAAGGCTCGCACCAAGGAAGTTTGCGATCTCTTTGAGGTTCGTTCCAAAGCTCGCACTCCGGACTTGTGGCAGGTGAGTGTTCCCAAGGCTTGCAGTAGGGAGTCCTTGCATGAAGCCAGAACGATGCGAGGATCAGCAGAATGAAGGCCTAGAAATTCCGCAGCAGCATTCACAGCACACTCTGCATCCGAACCCTCAAATTGGGCCCTTAAGTCGTGGTGGGAGAAGTCCATGACGGCGTCCAGTAAAATGGGCAGTGTATTCACATACACCTCAGGTACAAAGGAGAATAAGGAACCCGTACTTGAAGCAGTCTAAATGAATAAAATTCTTTAAAATAGTCAAATAAGTAAAATAGCATCTTCAATACCGTCAGTGTACGCAACATGCGTTCCAAAAGCCAAATAAGGAGGAACCTTCTATGTCCATTTAAGGCCACTCCTCTTAGCCAAACTTGTTTTCTCGCCAATGATATAGACCGAGTCTGAAATTGAGTTGGGAGTTAGATAAAATCCATGATAAAGAGTATAGATTTTAATAACGTACCGCAAAGACATTCTGCCGCTGGCTAAACTTGGATCGCAGCTCACCCATTACATGCTGATGGTTCTCGTTCATGCAAACATTCGCATGCTGCTCCAGGGCCACCAGTTTGCGCTCTATATCCTCTCGGTAGAATTTTGTTTCCTTGAGCACTTCGTTTAAGGCAGCTATTTCATCTCTCACCGCAGCTATTTTGACGATATACTTGTGCCCCGCTGAATAATAGAAAATAATGCACAGATCCAGGATTTCACAGAGACTGGCCTCCATGTCTACATTTCCAGGAGCCGAGTCAGTTGACCCACTGGGTCGTGGGTTCAAAAAGTGTGTATAGGTGGTATTGTTGGCACCCTGAGTGTGTCCCACCACTTGAACATTATTTATATTTTCACCTAACAGATATAGAGTAGTATCTATGTTTGAGGATATTATTTTCTGATATTTTACTCTAAAATAAAATACTTACCCACTTCGTTGACCCTCATATTCTGGCGATCATCGTCATAGATCTGTTGTGTACGCACGGGCCCCAGACGTTGATCAATGTCTGCCCGATGAACCTTTCTCAAATGAGACAGTACGCCTCCAACACGGTCAAAGTGCATATAGTCAAAGGATCCGTCAATGAAAAAATCACTGTTCACTTCCACATGCCGACTGGGCATTTCCTCCTTAAACATTGTTCGCGCCTGATCGATTAGAATAGAGACGAAGGCGAGGGCCACAGGGGCATCCAAAGGATGTTGAATGCTCGACTGCATGAAAAAGAAGGCGTGAAAGGGCTGCAAAAGAAAAGTTATCATATTTAAAAAGAAAACTTATAGAAGTAATTGAAACCCACTCTTTGTTCCATGCTGAGATCAATCACATAACGCCGCATTTTGGTTAGAAAAATAGCACGACTCGAGGGACTTTCCTTGGTGCCATCCGTGTTGATCAGAAGAGTGGAAAGGAAATCCTTTTGGGCCGCGTGCAGGGGCTCCGTTACCTTGCGCACTTTGTCAACCACACTCAGATACTTGTCTTTGGGCCCATCGATGCCCTCCGTCCAGGCCATGCTGTCGGGCAACAGCTCCTCCATAATATAAAATTCCAACGGATGAATGTAAAGGAAAAAAGCGAGACTAAAGTGAGAAAAAATAGCTTTCTTTAATATATTTTTATAAAAATTAAATCAATTACTTACCAATGCTTCTTGAAGAGTTTTCCCTCCAGCAGGTACTTGCGAGTCTGCTCATGGAGGCATAGGCAGTGGAGCATACCTAGGGCTTGTCGGTGCTTCTCATAGTCCAATCCCTGAATCGTATGCGTAAAAGTACCCAGAAGCGCGTTCACTAGTTTGCGTAGCACAAACTTGACTTCGTCGCCCTCCATGTAGTTCCAAAAGAGCGCAAGGAGACCCTGCAGCACACTGTTTGAATTATCCTTTTCAGCAGCCAGATTGGTCATGCTCGAAATCCGTTTCAGCAGAACGTCCTCAATGATGTAGGGATCGAATATTTCATTGGTAAACTTCTCTATCAATAGTGTAGCAAATATGCAGTACACAGTCTTTTTGGTAGAAACTCGAGCCTCCGTTTGATCGGTACTTTGCCCCGCGTTCTGGGCGTTGTACTTGGAGAATATGGCAGCCAGGTTGAAGAGATAGTTCATAATTAGATTGGCCCGTCGGAGCTTCAGAATGGGCCGGGCCATTAGCGGCTGGAAGCCCTGCACTGGATACATGAAGGGACGATTGCCAAAGTTTGCTTCGATGCCCTGAGTATAGCCTAACGATATGGCGGCGAAAAAGGTAATGCCCGGACCCTTCTCCAGCTTGTTGAAGGCAATTCCCATCGAACGACCATTGCGGAAATACTCTATATGTTCCTTCTCCACATCGAGGGTCACGCCTATGACGTCGCCTATCTGCCACTTGTCTCCATACCTGTAAATCCAAACATTATTTTTTTTTTTGAGGAGTCAACCTTTGACTACTTACTTCTTGGTGGATATATGCCAGATCTGTTGCTTACTGCCGTCGTAGCCATAACTACACTTGGTGTCCCCTACGCCGCTGTTCTCGTTAAACTGACAGGAATTAGAGGCCCAGCCTATCTGCATGACGCCCTTGGTGTGGAGGTGAATCTGAAGAAAAAAAAGGAACGAGTTTCAGTACGCACGTGCAACCCACACTCCTTAGGGCGAGTCATTGACCGCTGGTCAATCAGAAGCCACCCCATCCCCACTTCGACACCCACTCCCATTTAAAGCGATTACCTCATACATCCAGCGGCCGCCGTACACGCAGCAATTAGCCCTAACTGTATTAAAGCTTCCTTGGGAGCGCAGGGCCAGACGATCCGAGGACACCCGCACCGTAGTCGTGTAGTCCACATCGAATATGGTCAGATCCGGACCAATACGGCTCTCGGTTTCGGTGTACAAACGCCGGATTTCTTCGTTGCTGTCTGTCTGGATTGCCTGAAACTTGTCGTCGAGCCATGCCCGCACAATGACCATCTGCCTAGAGAGGAGAATCCTGTATACTGTATATCAAAAGACAGAATATAGAGGCACTTACTTGGTCACTGAAAGGTCCTCGAGCCTGGTGGGCTTCGGATCCGGCACCGTGGAACAGTTGGCTCCTTCCAAGTCATCGTCCAAGTCCGAATAGAGGTTGTCCTGTTCGACCTGCTCGAAAATGTCCTCGTTGAAGACTTTCACGAATAATTTTGAAATCGACATCTTGGCACTGTCATTTCATTGCTAGCTCTGTATTCCCTATAATCTTTAAGCCAGTCAATCCAAAATCCGCCCGACAGGCAAAAAAGGAATTTTATAGTTAATAGAGATGAGCAAATCCGCCGACTCTTATCGAGACTGACTAACGGTGGCTTATATCGGATAACGCTCAACTCAACGTTTTTTTTTACTTTTGTCGAATTTTCAAGTAAAAACTTAATTTATGTAAAAGTTTGTTTATTAAAATGTCACAAAATGTCATTTATTTGTTATTCTCAATGTGAAAATGTTGACGTTTAGATTGTGGAAGTGGATTCTGGAAGAGGTTGGATTCTACTTTCTTAGAGACATTTGGTAAAAAAATTATTTTCCAAATTAATTTTTAAGATTAACTAACTAATTCAAATAAGGTTTAAGATATTTATCTTTTTTTTTTAAACTGATCTGACGAACAGCTGCTCAAATCCCTCAATCCCCACATCACTATCAATTTTGTTGATGTTTCACAACACTCACGATAACGATAACGATTTTCAAAGTTGTTCTCGAAACGTAAGGACGTGTTTTTGTGGTGCTGCTCCTAGAGAGCGGTTAATTTAATTATAAGTCAATACGCAGCGAATGAGTCATCCCAAAAGCACCGAAATTGAAGTGTGCAAAGTGAAAATCCTTTCCAATTCAGTTACTGACCGAATCATTCTCATTTTTGCTGTCGTCAGCGGCAAAGTGTTTGCCACCAGTGATGCTCAACTGACGGGCTAAGATTTGGCGGGTTACAGCCGCCAATTACTAATTAAAATTCAAAGTGAAACTCAATGAAACAATGTTCATAATGGCAGCAATTAAATAAATTAATTAAACAATAACACCGTTCACCTTGGGACCACCATTTCACTAAAGCGTTAGTTAGGCTCCAACGATTTAGCCGCAAAATGCGTTTAATGTTGTAGTTATTGTTTTGTGAAAATTACAAAAATAGAAATTCGCAACAAAAAATAGAAGGGGAAACAAAAATCAATGCCAAACCCATTCGAAAACAAGACCATTACAACATACGTATGTGGCCATAAATGAATATGATTTCTGCTGCTACATATACCCTAGGCAATTGATTTATCTGCCTGTTCTCGACCCGTTTATTTTTGTTGCTATTTTGTTTTTTTTTTTCGCAGAGCAATCAACTTGATTCTTTGCGTGTGTATGGGGTTTGTTTGTAATTTGAATTCAATTTAATGGAACTGGAAATATTGTATATATAGGAATTAAATAATTATTATTGACCATGTTGTGGAAGCTGGCTGAAAGGGAGCTTTAATTAACTTTAACTGAATTGTAAAGCCGTTAATTACAGGAGAAGACGCTTCTTATCAGTGTCCCCTAGACGAGCACGTTGTTTACAGTAATGGAATACGTTAGCTCTGATAGTTCTCCCAGACCATATGTTTACATAATAGGAGCCTTGGCTGGCTCCTCTTTCCTTTTCCTCCCACCCTCCTCGCCGTTGACTGCTATTTCTTTATTTTTTTTCCAATTTATTGAGAAAATATCCACTTTGCTTTCCGACACTCAGTGACGTTAATTCTGAGTGGAAAATAAATATAAAATACAAAAACAAACAGTCTCAGAACAGTAAAGAACACAGATGAACACTATGGATGGTGAATGGAAAGGACCGACTCATTGAAAAAATACCCTAGAATTTTATAAACAAAGTTGAATCATTTTTTTTTTGTCACATCTGCCAACAAAAAGATCCCCTCTTTTATTTGCGGAGCTTACTTGACTCAGCAATATCCTCATCTGCGATAAAAACGAATTTTTAATCATCTAGTAAAATATTTAAGCATCTTCTGTTGCTGATATGAAAGGAAAATCGCACATAACTGACCGGTCTTTTAAAAAATATCAAAGGAATACAATTGGGCTACCAAGTCATAACTTTTTAAAGATATGGTACGCTATAACAGATATAGCAGTCGATTACATATTCAATTTTTTACGATTCTTTGGTCACGTATACATGTGTTCTTTTTTTTTATACACTATCTTTAAGAGTTCCTTAATTAAACTATAAAGTTAAAGAATAGTTATGATGTATACTTTTATTAGAGAAGACATTTATTAAAATTACTTATTAATTAAATGCTATTTCTAACGTCTCAAGAAATTATTTATAAATATGTGCTTTATAAATATTAGAATAATCTTTTTCCAACCACTTAGTTTGCATATCATCTCAGTAAGCAACTGGGCTTGTGGGTTAAATTCAAAGATAGCAAACTGCGATTTAAATAAAATATAAAAATAAACAAATATTTAAAACCACATAGCCCCTTCCGACTCTTCCAGATAAAACCACTAAATAGACCAAGGGAGACCCCAGAAGAGCATATAGTATTCCGGGTGAAATCCCATTCATTCGCAAACATTTCTCGGGCTATTATCTAATCGATGGGCTGAAGTGCTTTTGCCTCTGACGTATCGAATGGTCGTGCGATCAAAAATATATATATTTGTATTTAATTTCGGCAACTGGGGCTGTGGGGTTCCAAACTGAGCCGAGAGTAGCGACTTTGATTGACCATATCAGACGACACTTGACGCAGTGCGTTCTTATCTGGGCAGCGGTTCACCCGCTTCAGCTCCTTGGCCCCGGAACCGAGCCCAGTTTTGACTTGGCCAAACACAGACATGGGCAATTTTCTGTTTGCCTTGTACAAATAATGCCATGGAGAACACTTGTTGCCCGATTAGCCATAAACATTGGGGCTTTATAAGTGTACCTAGCCATGTGAACGAGAATCTGATCTACTCCAGTTCATTTCTTTGCAGCCAGTCGAGGGCAACGGACACGTAAACGTTTATAGAACAGATTCTTAACCGGAAGAGAAACGGACAGTTGCATGAGGCAGGCCTAGAGGAGCAACAGTTCCCACCCAAAGACAGCACGAAGATGTCACAAAACCAATCCTACTTCTGGCAAACGACCAGACACAATGTATACCTGAAGCGATCCGCTAAATGGCACATGGCGCTGGCCCTCATGGTGGTGCTCACATTTGGCACAATCTGTGCGGCGGAATCACAGCCGGATAGTGAAGATAATGCGGTGATCCAATCCGGCATACAAAGTGTAAGTCATTAAAGCACATAATCAGACAAGAAACTAATAGTTATTTTAATTTGCAGAACTTGGAGGTGCAGGGAGACTTGAACAGGCCAACGGACTTGAGCTCTTTAGATGAAAAAGCAAATGAATCAGCGGACCGGCAGAAAACCAAGGGAAACTTTATCGATGCGTTCACCGCATCGATCTCTGTTATCCTGTTAACAGAGCTAGGCGATAAGACTTTCTTTATAGCTGCCATAATGGCCATGCGCCATCCGCGTTTGATTGTCTTTGGCGGAGCCATTGCCGCCTTGGCCCTAATGACGGTACTCTCATGCGTATTCGGCATGGCAGCTAACTTTATTCCTAAGGTGTGTTTCAAATTTTTCTTGCTAAAATGTCAGTTCTATAAATGCACTTTTTATCCACAGATTTATACGTATTATATCTCAACTGCATTATTTTTAATATTCGGTTTGAAAATGCTGTACGATGGCTACAAAATGAAACCAACCGATGCTCAAGAGGAACTCGAAGAGGTTCAGACTGATCTGCGCAAGCGCGAGGATGAGGTGAGTGATCCTGTGTGGGATCTATATATGTACTATAAACCCTATAGTAGTCTTCTATGTTTCCGTAGTTTTTGTATATCCAAAGTAGTTTTGCAATTGTATATTTATTAGTTATTTTTATGCTTTTGTTAATAGCTATGCTTGGTATTGTATATTTTTTTAAATATTTTTAAAACCTAACGACTGGCGAAATGTTCTGAAAATTTCCAAATAATATGATATACGGCCAAAGCGATCACTTCATATGGCATGCTTTGGTTTTCCAGTTCTATACTTGAGGTGTAAACCCATTACTTTGCTTTATTTACACGACTGGCGAGAACGATAATAACAAAACAAACACTAACCCAAAGCTTTTCATAATTGTAATTATACCTAAATTGCATGCTAATGACGATTTTTTTAATAGCCTACAAAATAATAGCCCTAAACAATCCAGCTCGATCGACAAAAGGGCGAAAAGCGCGAATACACATTCTCAGTTTCAGCTTGTGATTTATTTTATTTCGATTTGATTTTATTTGAAACATTTAAAATTCACATAAACACACACCCATCCAAGCGTATGTGACTAATTGCACGAAAATTTGCGCATTTTCAACAACAAACGTGTTCTTGAAGAGTTTCTGACCTCTGACCAACGAAATTTCGTACTAAACTATGCGATATGGAACAGCTTTTATGCCAAAAAAAAAATGAAACAACTTCACCCGAATATTAATCAAAAACCAAAATTTCTGCAAATCAATCACTAGCTAATGCCAAATTTTTAATTGTTTATTTCTTTATGCAAAAACGAAATTTAAATATTGATTTAACGTTGTACCCGAAAATGTTACCTACCAAACAACGTATATTTGAACAATGCCCATTCTGATCTTGAATTGTATTGGTCGTTCGGAACGCAGTTGATGCGCAAGGCCAACGGAAAGTACGAGGATTCTGACGCCAAGCGGAAGAACAGCAACTCGGACAAGGAGGATGCCAGCGAACAGGCGCTCATCCACGGCCGTGGCTCGATCTCCACCGGAGCTGGAACTGCCAACAACGGAGATTCCGACATGCAACATCGCCAGCGAAAGCAACGCAACAACAACCTTAACAATAATAGTAGTAAGCGAAATAGCTGTGATAAAACTGACAACGATGAGGGTGCCGACCACGACCCCCACGAATCGGAGGTCTTCCTCAAGGACGGCCGTATTGTGGAGCAGCTGAAGATGAAGACCTTCCACGGCAGTCCCGCCCATTCGGCGGCCTCATCGAACCAGACCGAACAAACCACCAACTCCATTGCCGCCTCCCTCAACACCGTCGATGTCCAGCTGGCTGGCCATCCCACCGATCATCCGTCCGTTGGAGGCGTACCGGAGCCCAGGGCTCCGCTGGCCGGACACGATAGCATGCACAGTCTGAATGGCAGCCTGAATGGTGATCTCACCACCGGACCGGCAAATGGCTCCCTCAAAGCTCGGGTTAGGCCACAGAATCAACTAAAAGATTAATCAAGCAGCCCAGCCTCCTATTTTGTGTTCTATTACGTTTCCGAAATTCAAGTTGATAAGAGCACGGTTTTATGTTATTTCTGAGAATTGTTTTGATTAGGAAATCTTGTAGTATTTTTAGCAAAACAAACATAATTTTTATTACAAACATAAACATAAATTTTATCAATTCGAATTCCGGGAAACCTAATCCGAACCTAAATCGAGGCTTGGGTTCACTAATCCAATAACTGGCAACTGTTAAATGTTGTTGTTCGCTTATCATCATCGTTTCACGTGCTTTTTGCCCAAAAAACAGTCACAACACACACAGAACATCAAACCATGACATTATTTTTTATAATTTATATATTTTTTTACTCATAAGTCATTGGGTTTTGTGCCCACTGGGCTTGGTTACCTGTTCCACCTTCATCTGTTTGGCGCACCCATTATCTCACCCATTGTTTCTCTCTCTGCATGTTGTTTGAAGTGATCGTTTTCTGCTTTTTATTTTGGTTTTATCAAACAGGATAATTTTTATAAATTGTCTCCTGTTCAAAAGTATCTCAATGTCGATTTTTTATTTGCTATTTATCCTTTGTTTGCGCACATTATCATCCCAATTTTTGAAACTCCCTATATTGCTAACAATTTCTAACAATTTGTTTTCTTTTTCAGCTGGACCGTGATGTGAATGCTGCGCTGGTGAACGATGCGGAGAGCGGTCGGCGCCGTCCCCAGCGCCGTGGTGCCACCTACTTTACCATGCGAATCTTTGCCCAGGCCTTCACGATGACCTTCCTGGCCGAGTGGGGTGATCGCTCCCAAATAACCACCATTATTCTTGCCGCCAGTAAGGTAAGATATCTTTAAAAACACCCCAACCTGCCATTATACTCATTGTTTTGTGTTTTTCAGGACATCTTTGGAGTAATCTCAGGCGGTGTTATTGGCCACTGCATCTGCACTGGCCTGGCTGTGATCGGAGGTCGTCTTGTGGCTTCCAAAATCTCCGTTCGCACTGTCACCATTGTTGGTGGCATTGTATTCATTGGCTTTGCCATCTATGAAATCGCCATGCCACCGGACGACTTGTAAATAAAAGAAGCAAGCCATGGAATTTTAATGCGAGATTTGCCCGTTGACGACCCCACATTAATTGAAGATCTAGTTTAGTTAATCTTTAAAGACCACCCTTTTTCCCATTTTTTGAGGAGCAACGCTGGCACGGCTAAGAGGATTGTATTGCCTAAGCCAACACTGAAGTAGTTTCATATTATTAACTTAGCTTGCTTGCCAAAACAACCAAACAAAAGTGCCTTCAGTACTTTTCGCCTGGGCCATGACATTACACATTTAGTTAAAAAACACTCAAAACAAAACAATGAATTCATTTGTTCGATTTGTTTGCCTTTATTTGATTTATATAACTTCCGTTTCGTGTTAAGTATTAAAGATGTTTGTTGTACATATGCGTGCTGAAGCTCCTCCGAGCTGACAACCTCTCCTCAGTATCCCACATCCTTATTTGCATATTTTTGTTTACGTAGCAATGTTTACTTAAAAAAAACACACAAATTAAAACTAAAGATTTATGAGTATTTATGATTTTTGTATGAAAAACTTAGTAAAGTGAGCAAAACAAAGATTTCTAGTTTTCTTTAGTTTATTAAGGACATAATTTATTTTCGTAAAAGTATATTAAGGAGTTTACATTGTCGCTTACAGTCAAGAAAAATTTGGTTAAGTTAATTCAAGAGCAGGACTGCCCTGGTTATAGTTTACTTCGCGGTCTTGGGATCACGATAGATGCCCGTGAAGAGGATCGACTTGGACTGGCGATCATAGATGACGAACAGGAACGGGTGGTTGGCCTCGAACTTGGCCGGCTCCACGGGCCGGGCCGATCGGTAGGTGAACAGAACAGTGGCCGCCGAGGCGGTGCTGCCCTCCTCATCCACCTTGATCTTGGCCACATGCTTGGCGTCACCAATGGTGACCTTTTCCGAGGTCAAGTCGTCGAAGGTGGCCACGGAGGGGTCGAAGATCTTAGTTGCTCCCATTTTGGCGAGGATCTAAAAGAGAGAAGTGCGTTAGGGGTATAACTAAAGCAAGGCTTCCTCAGGTACTTACTGGCACCAGTTCCAGGCGCTGTTCGAACTCAAACTTGGGCAGCGACACTTCGATCTCGCGGGGCATGGCCTGATTCAAGGATTGCTCAAGAGTGTCGGCATTCAGGCGGGAGAGCACATCCTCTAGAGAGTTGCTGTTGAATGGCGGCAGGATAATCACCATGGAGATGTCGGATTTCTCATCGGGATCGCTGTCCGGATTCTCCTGCGACTCGAAGACTGTGCGGTAGGGAAGCTGGAGCACATGGGCCCGCAACTGCTCGTCCGTGTTCAGAAGGAAGGTTCCCTTCTGCTGCATCATCGGCACCAGGGAGAAGTTCGAGGCGGATGTGTAGAAGGGCATCGGAGCGGTCTTCTCCACCTTGAACTGGCTAACCCATTGACCCTTCAAGTAGGCAGCATTGGCGAGGGTTAACCTGGTGAGAGGAGTAATTTCATCGGCGCTGAGCATGTCGCGGATTTGGTTGTGGGTCACATTGGCGATCCAGTCGTTGATCTCCTTGCGCGACTCCTCAGGCTTGTTCTGGAAGTCCATCTTCACGATCTCCTTGGCCAGGCGCGTTTCGATGCAGTGGGTCAGCGGCAGGTCCTGGGCAAAGAAGATGCGGTCCGCAGATGCGAATTCCAGTGGCATCTTGAGGGATCGGGTCTCGCGGTTCTTCTTCTCCAGAATGTAGGCACTGCGCACTACTTCCTTGGACTCGGCCCAGTCCAGATGGAGCACCTTGGCCAGTTGCTTCTCTGTTTCCCCGGAAGAACCGAAGTAAGCCAGGAGCAGGGCATGGTACGTGCTGTATGGTGAGAAGAAGACGTTCTCGTTCGGCGTGCTCTTACGGATCACATCCAGCATTGACACTGCAAAGTTTTGTTGTCCCTGGTATAGTTGAACACGCTTCTCCAGGAAGCTGGGATTCGGTTCCACATCGCAGAGACCAGCCAGGGCGATGGCCGGAAGAAGCACCAGTAGGGATACGCTCAAAGTATGCATTTTGTGACTTGGAAATCTGAAGAATATTAAGAACTTTTAAGTTTGGATGGTAATCTTGACATGACGTCTTTGATATTCAGAATTATTTTATTTAATTTTGGGTCCCCTTATCTTTATTCCACATTATTTAAGTATATACATACGTAAATATAATATAAAAATGTATATACATAAGCTACGTGTCTAGAATCACATGTGATTCCAAATTTTTTTAAAAAGTTCATGTCTCTGCAAATGATTAGAGATTGACGGACAGAGTTGACGCATCCACTGTGTTTTTTCCGGCAATCCATTTAAATTGTGACAGAAAATTACTGCCAGCGCATGAATACAAGCTGTAGTTTAGTGGAAAACCCCTAATTAAGGGAGTTATTAGGGAGGACCATTTAATAGACATTATTTAAGCTCATTTGGTGAGGCATCTACTTAAAATTCTACTCGTTGAACTGAATAAATCACTGAGTTCTATTGCACAATAGGGCAATTAGTAAGAATAATACTGAAATACTTTCGAATGAGATTAGGACATTCGTCAACATAAATCAATCTCATAAACTTAATGTTTTTCCCAACTGTTTTATATTTAACGGGAAAGATTTATTATATGTTTCCTAAAAAATATTTGAGGGGTTTTCCTTTTAATCATATTTGGAAGATGGTTTTTTTGGTGATTGGGTAAAAACCATTTTAGCACTTCGGGTGAAAGAGACCTTGAACATAATCATAGATCTACAAACAACAAAATGGTTATTTAAATTTGCTTGGTTACGCAGTTTAAGCCGCTTTGGGCTGATTCACCCCGAAAGCTTTTCCAGTCCATCGAATCGTCAGTTATCTTGGAGCTCAATTGCAACATCTCTGACAAAAAAAAAAAAAAAAAAAAGAGAAAGTTTGCCGCCGCTCTGCACTCGACCAAAATTCGCATAATGGCCTGTTACCTGTATGCCACCTGGGTATGTGCATCCAGTGAGGCATGAAAGACCCTCCACCGATCCAAGAGCTTTATCTTGACTATATGTATGATAGTAGCTCCAATTCCAGCTTTTAAGCCAGCTGAGCGATGACGCTTTTTGCGATTGCGTGACTGCAACAGCAGCAGCAGCAATGAAAAACGCTTCGTGTAAAAATAAAAAATATAACAAAAAACCCAAAATTAACATTTCCAACAACCAGCAACCGGTTAGCACCGGCAGACATCGCTATATAGTTTGTGATTCATAAACGGCACTGCGTATGCTCAATTGTTGACCCTGTATTGGCAATTTTGTAATTGGTTTCTTTTGTTGTCATTTTATTTTTATTTTATTTTTTTAACCCATAGACCCGTAAGCTCTGTTTGTATGGGGGATCTTTGCGCATGCGCAGTTATTTGTTTTTTTTTTTTGGGGAAATCCAGAGATATTGAACAATCAACGAGCTCTTTTAATTGCTAGGAAGCTAACAGTCGGCTTATTTTGAGCTGCATTGAACTTGGATTAATGGCGTGTCAGAAATAATTGACAAACACTCTGCGGTTTATTAGAAGTCATAAATTATTGAATTTAAAGTACTTGAGCGCGGTTTTACATATAAAAACTTTGCGGTATAGCTTGTTTTTTGTTTCTTTCTTCTATAATAATTGTTTAAAAAGTGTTTAAAAAAAACTGCACTAATCAATTAATGAGCTTTGAATGTTTTTAGTAGAATTATCTATTGGCCTTGCCTTAAATTCGTGTATAAAAATACATCTAATACAAACAAGGCAACAACAAAATTATAGTTATTTACAATAACTATACATTAATTGCCCCATTTCAATTGCGTACGACTAATATACATATCATGTTTATTGGTGTGTATGCAATCTTTTATATTGTATACACACCGATATGCTGATTCGTATTGCAGAAATAGTCAACGCTTTAATAGTCGTGGAGTGATTGTGGGAGCTTCGGGGGAGTTGAACAAATGGGGGCAAACACTTGACAAACACTGAAAAATCGTTGGGGAATACCTTCGTCAAGTGGAGGCTTAAACTGGCACCGAAACTTGTTAAAAAATGTTAAACCGAGCACACGACCGTTTTGTTGCGGCCTTAACTTTTGACTGAATCGTTCCGGCAAGCGACCAAAATATATCCAAGCGCAGCTTTAATATCGATAACTTACGATGTCCGCCAAGCACCTGATCTAATCTTAACGAACGGTAACTTAACGAAAACTGTGGTGTTTTGAAACACTGGGTGTGGGCAAGCTGGGCTAATTTTAAAAACTTTTACGGTAACGGTTTTTTTTCTATTTTTCAATTTTGAAAAACCTAAAATAAATATAATTTCATTGTAATTTTTATTTTGTGTATTCGAAAATTAAGTTTAAATAAAGATCAATTCAAATGAAAAACAAGTTACAAAAAATATGATATCTGGTTCGACTACTGCTCCGCCGGAATAGGCTCGGCATACACTCCGGAGAAGAGGATCGTCTTTGACTTTGTATTGTAGATGAAGAATGCGAATGGATGATTGCACTCGAATTTAAATGGGTCGTTCCTGGCCGATCTGAAGGAAACCAAGACGGTGACTGCCGCGGCGGTGCTACCCTCCTCGTCTACCTTAATCTTGGCCACGTGCAGGGCATTATCGAAAAATATATGGTCTGGAGTCAGCTCAGAAAAGTTTGCACGTTGGTCAAATATCGAATTTATCCCCATCTTGGAAAGCATCTAATCAGGGTGTTGAGAAAGAAATTTTAAGTATTTTTATCAGAGTATGAAGAGTAATACTTACAGGTTTAAGTGAGGTCTGCCTTTTGAATTCGAATTTGGGAATGGAAATCTCGACCTCCTGGCCAATGGACCTCTTGAGCGCCGATTCCAGGCTGTTAGAGTTCAATTTTGACAACAATTCGGGAATGGCGTTTTCCTTGAAAGACGGCAGCACAATAACCATGGAGACGTCGGACTCGGTTTCCGAAGTTTGGGACGTTCTGAAGGGTAGTTGGAGGATGTGGGCATCTAGTGCGCTATCGGCTCCTATCTTAAATGTGCCCTTTTGCTGCATCATAGGAACCATTGAGGAGGAGTTAGAGGCAGTGAAGAAGGGTTTCGAAATGGTATTCTCCGTTTTAAACTGGCTGACCCACTGGCCTTTGAAGAAGGCAGCATTGGCGAGAACAACTTGGGTGCGTGAGTTAATTTCCTGGCTGGTCAGCACGTCGCGGATGTGATTACGAGTTACGTTGGCAATCCAATCGTTAATATCCTTTAGAGCCTGTCCTGCATTTTGCTCAAAATCCTTTTTTATTATATCATTACCCAGTCGATCCTCAAAGCACTTGTGCGTTTCCAGATTTTGAGACAAAAATACGCGGTCCACTGATGAGAACTCCAGGGCTCCCTTTAATGTCATCTTTTTATCGACCCACTTTTGAAGCATATAGACGGAGCGCACCATCTCCTTGGAGTCTGCCCAGTCTAGCGATAGAGTAGAGACCAGTTCGTTCTGCGTTGTTCCAGCCGATCCGTAGTAGGCCAGAAGCAGTGCATTGTAGACGCTATAGGGTGAGATGAATACATTTTGGTTCGGCGTTGAATCGTAGACTTCTTTAAGCAATGAAACAGCAAATTTTCGCTCTCCCTCGTGCAGAAATGACCGTTTTTTGAGGAAGGCATTGTCTGATTTCACATCGCAGAGATGGGACAGGACCAAGGCCGGAAGGAGCGCGAACAAAGAAAGTCCAAGGAAATACATTTTTATTCGAATCGAAAGACGTATGAACTCCGAGAAGGCTAGCTCTGCAATGAATTTAAATGTATATGGAACATAAATATATAAACATATTTTGTGATTAAACCCAAGCTTTTCTTGGAATTATAAAAAGATTAAAGCTTTCTAAGAACAACGAAAAAAAACCCTGCATGACATGCAGAGCGTAAAAACCTTACAGAGCACATTATAATTTTGAGTTGATATGAGCATGTCCGTCTGGGCGTCGTTGGGTCTGTGTCTGAATTAATCTCTCAGGCTCAGACTAACCAGGTTAATTACACCCTTTATTTTTTTACTCTTAAAGACTAGTGTATTTGTTCCATTGAATGTACCTATGTTTTATGACTTCAGAAATTAGATTTTATGTCTAGGCATCCTAAATTTGAGGGTCAGTGTCCACTTCTTTAGTCTAGAAGTCTGGAGTTTCATATTTCGTTTTTTATAATTTCATTTAGCCGTGAAAATAAGCTACGTGCCTAGAATCACATCGACATTTATTTATTTATAAAATTCATGTCCCTGCAAGTGATTAGAGATCGACTGTCAGAGTTGACGCATCCACTCCGTTTTTCCCGTATATTCTATGACTGTCATATAGCTGAACGTTCGAAAATGACCCAACTTTCGAAAAACTTTTGAAGATAGGAAAGCTGGGAATAGAAAATACTAATTTCATGAGAATCGGCCAACAAAATCCGATATTGAAGTATACACATATCCAATCTTAACTGCAAGGGTATACAAACTTCGGCTCCTTTCAAACTTAGCTTTCCTTTCCTCATAACAGTCACTGATAAGAATGTCATAAATATTTAAATTTCGATTTCCTTATGTACAATTAAAATATTTACACAAAATTGTACCTAAATCCGTGGTCCAAGGAGAAAAGCAGTCAAAAATTGAATAAACAGCCCACAATTATAAATTAAATTATATTTTTAGGCGAAAATAATTATTATTTTTTAATTTTAAGAAAAACAAGAAAGGAAAGCTATTTTCGGGCGGAGCCGAAGTTTATATACCCTTGCAGTTAAAACCGGATATATATAGCAAACATCGGATATAGTTGGCCGATCCTTATGGGAATATGAATATATAATCCAATTTATTACAATACGAAATCTAAAACAAGAAAGGAAAGCTAACTTCGGGCGGAGCCGAAGTTTATATACCCTTGCAGTTAAAATGGATATATATCGCAAACATCGGATATAGTTGGCCGATCCTTATGGGAATATGAATATATAATCCAATTTATTACAATACAAAATCTAAAAAAAGTCTCAAGCTTCTATCTTCAAAAATACCAAAGTTGGTATTTCAACCAAAAACCATTTCCGATCGTTCAGTTATATGCCAGCTATAGGATATAGTCAGCCGATCCTTACGAAATTTGGCATGTCGTATTAGTTTGCCAAACATAGCACTCATGTCAAATTTGAACTCTCTAACTTTAAAAACACTAAAGTTATACCATTTCCGATCAATCAGTTATATGGCAGCTACAGGATATAGTCGGCCGAATCCGGTCGTTCCGACTTATATACTGCGTGCAAAAGAAAGAAGGGTGTGTGCAAAGTTCCAAGACGATAGCTTTAAAACTGAGAGACTAGTTCGCGTAGAAACAGACGGACATGCTCATACCAACTCAGGAGGTGATCCTGATCAAGAATATATATACTTTATAGGGTCGGAGATGTCTCCTTCACTGCGTTGCACACTTTTGGACAAAATTATAATACCCTCTGCAAGGGTATAAAAAACGATGTTTCTTAAATATTATATGTACATATAAACGTACTTTGGTTATCAGTAATATTTATATTATTTTCATACTCACAATGTTATTATATATTATACTCACAATGTTAGAATAGCTCTTCAATAGAATAGAACAAAAACCACAACAAAATTTATATAATAAATAAAAAAATATTTATAAATGTTACAAATTTAAAAATCTTTAATCTTAAACCTATTTAAAATTCTCAAAAGGAAACTCAAATAAATCGCAGAAATATTTTAAATAAGCTCAAATCCGACTGACTTAGGAGAACATTCTATAATCGATAACCGATAAATTGTGCCAAATTTAAAAATAAAAATACTAAATACTAAAATTTAATAAATACTAAAATTTGATTTTGCTTATTTTTTTGAATAAAAATTAAAATTATTATTTTCAACTTTATTTAAAAATAAAATATAAAATAATTCCAAATAACTGGAAAATCAGTGTCGATGAGACCGTGATATTTTAAAGAGCTTGTACCACCACTAGTCCGAGTTGTCCAACACTGGCAGCCACCACCACCGTCCGTCGCGAAATTGACAACAAAACAGAGGAGAATTTAGCGATAAACAAACATAATATTGGTCAAATATGAGCGCATCGACGAGCACGACGGCAGCGGCCTCGCAAGACGCCTGCTACATATCGCTGCTCGGTCTAGCGGAATACTTCCGCACATCGCAGCCGCCGAACATTAAGAAGTGCATCCAGTGTCTCCAGGCGCTCTTCACGTTCATGCCGCCCTCAAAGGTTGAGGCGCGGACACATCTACAAATGGGCCAGATCCTGATGGCTTACACGCAAAACATAGACCTGGCGCGCCATCATCTGGAGAAGGCGTGGAGCATATCGGAACCTTTGGCCAACTTTGATGTGAAGTTCGATACCGCCTCCCTTCTTGCTCAGCTACATCTTCAAACGGACCAGAACTCGAACCAGGCCAAGGCGATGCTCCGTCGCGCAGTTGAGTTATCCCAGCACAACGTCTACTGGCACTGTAAACTGTTGCTTCAACTAGCCCAGATCCATGCCAGCGACCGCGAATACTCATTGGCCTCCGAGCTACTGGCGGTCGGAGCGGAAAGTGCTGACGAGGCGGGCGCCACGTACCTGAAGGTGCTGTTCCTTCTCTCACGCGCCATGATACTCATGATCGAGCGCAAGACAAATGATGTGCTCGCCCTGCTCAATTCCGCCGGCCAGATTATCGACAACAACATCCCTAATCCGCACCAAAAGGAGTACCTCAAGGTGTTTTTTTTAGTCCTTCAGGTGTGCTATTACCTGGCTCTGGGTCAGGTGAAGACAGTAAAACCCAGCCTCAAACAGCTTCAAATGTCCATCCAAACGATAATGGCTCCCAATTGGCCCACGGACGAAGCCATATTCGGAGCGAACCAGCTAGAGATGTTCGTGTGGCTTCCGAAGGAGCAGCTGTATGTCCTGGTCTACTTGGTGACCGTGTCGCACTCCATGATGGCCGGTTATATGGACAAGGCGCAAAAGTACACGGAAAAGGCGCTAACCCAAATCGAAAAACTAAAACAGCAGGAAGACAAGCCAATTCTCTCCGTGTTCAAGGTGATCCTGCTGGAACATATCGTCATGTGCCGGATGGTAATGGGAAATCGTGAACTGGCCATCCGAGAGATAGCGGCCGCGAGAGACGTGTGCCTTGCGGCTCCACAGCGCAGCCTTCTACGACGCCACTCCGCCCAGCTGCACTGCCTCATCGGGCTGTATTCTATGTCCACTAGCTTCTTCGAGCATGCCGAACGCCAGTTCCTGGTGTGTGTGAGCGAAACCAACGAACGAGACCTGAAGCTGTTTGCGAACCTCAACCTGGCGATCATATACCTGCGCACTAAGCGCGACACGGACCTCAAGCAAATCCTCGACGCCGTCTCCTCAGAAAATACCAACACCTACAGCAGTCAAGCGCTAATGGGCGGGTTTTACTACGTCCAGGGACTGCACGCCTTCCACAAGAACAGCTTCCACGAGGCCAAGTTAGTTGGATGTCATTTATCTTTCTCAAAAATACCTAATCCATCATTTCTCTTTTTAGACGCTTTCTGCGCGAGACCTTGAAAATGGCCAATGCTGAGGACCTGAACCGGCTGACCAGCTGCTCGTTGGTCCTGCTCTCGCACGTATTCCTCAGCATCGGCAACTCCAAGGAGAGCATGAACATGGTGACACCGGCCATGCAACTGGCCAGCAAGATACCCGATATCCATGTCCAGCTTTGGGGCTCGGCTATCCTAAAAGATTTGCATAGAATGTCCAAGGATGTACAACATGAAAAGGATGCTTATGCCAATCATCTAAAATACTCCGAAAACCTGATTGCAGACCAACGGAAGAGCGTACAAAGCTCTCACCATGAATTAGTCAACTGGTTCCACGGTGATCCGCCGGTAACAAGTGGTCCGCCCACTACAACCGCCGTTGCCATGATCCTGCCAGACTCCTCCGCCACCGGACCTGTCCCTGTTATCGCGTCCACATCTACGGGCATGCAACAGGCGATGCAACCAGTGGGGCCTTACGGCCAGTTCTACTAGCAATGAGACGACGATGCAATTGTACCATCTAAGATTTTATTTGTATCTAAAACTAGCGACTAACTAAGTTAAGGATAAACATGTTCTACCAGTTGTGAATTTTGTCATAAACATAAAAAAACTAGCTGCTAACTAAGAGTGTCGCATCTGTTGGAAGAAATAATGGTTTTTTATCTAATGTGAGGTATTTGGAGTAATCTTATGGGAAAACAAACACGGAACCTTTAAACTAGAACAAAGATATATATTTTATATCCTTTTTATACTAATGTTAAGTAAAATTTGAGAATCTGTTCAACATCCATTCAAAACTCAACCAAAACAAATTACAGCATTAGCGCCGTCTCTGCCATTTCGTTAAGGTCTTCCTCGATACCACCACTTCCACTGCCGTTCTCCTTGTTGCTCAGCAGCGTAAAATGCACCAGTCGCTTGTCATGCTGCTCGTGTTCCGACAAATGGGATCGCATATCGGGCATGGATTTGAACTCTTCGTTACACACGGGACAGATGTAGATGCGGTCGCCCTGATGGGTGCGCTGGTGCATTTGGCAGTCGCCTCTTTGAGTGAAGGTCTTGGAGCAGAAGGGACAAACGTACGGCCGCTCACCAGTGTGCGTCCTTCTGTGATTCTTGAGCACATTCAGGGCAGTAAATCTCATGGGGCAAAGGTCGCAGGCATAGGGACGCTCCCCAGTGTGTTTTCGTTTGTGCTTGGCCAGAGAACAGCTGGTGGTGAATTTTGCCTGGCACACGTCGCACCCAAAGGGCTTATCGCCAGTGTGGGTGCGTTCATGAGAAGCCAACTCCGCCTTGGTGACGAACGAGTGCGGGCACAGATCACATTTAAAGCTCTTGGTCTCCGAGTGGCGTAGCTTGTGCTGCCTCAAGTTGGCATTCTGAGTGAAGCTCTTCCCGCAGATATTGCAAACAAACGGCTTCTCGCCGGTATGGATGCGCATGTGGTCACGTAAGGTTGAAAGCATGGTGAAGACTAGAATTTAAGATCTATGTTTAGTTGGAGACCCAAAGATTACTTGTTAAAAAAAACTCACCCTTTTGGCAAATGTTGCACTGATTACGCAGGTTTCGCTTGTGACCTTGCACCATGTGTTTGCCCAGCTGCTCTTTGGACTCGAACTGCATCCCGCATTCCGCGCAAGTATGCGTCCCATGAGTAGCCTGATGCTCGGCTAAGTGCTCCGGCGATACAAAGACCCTTTCGCACTCATTGCACTTGAAATTGCGATTTGTGCAGCCCTTCTGGCGCTTGTGAATGATCAGCGACTTTTCCAGCGCGAAGCCCGCATTGCAACGATCGCAATGGTACTTCAGTTCGGCTGCTAATGTTGCTGCGGTTGCTCCTGGAACGGTAACGGATACCGAATTCATCGATTTCCGACTGCTTTCCAATCGGATTTGTTTTGCTGGACTAGCGGTTGCTGGTGTTGATGTCTTCACTTGCTCCTCCGGCTGTGGTGCTGGTCTACGACGTGAGGTCCTCTTGGCTGGCTGGGGCTGTTCCTCTTCTTTAGCTTCTGGTTTGTTTTCCGACGTTTCTCTGACTGGTTTTTGCTGCTGAATTTGAAGCTTAGCCGCACTGTTTCTGGTGGTCACTTGGGGAGTGGGCAGTTCCACAACCTCCGGCTCACCGTCAGCCGTCTCGAATATGGCCATGTTGCACTCTCGAATCTGCTGCTCCAGTTCTTCGTCGCCTTCATAAATGACATCAGTTTGGGTGAACACCCCTTCTTTCTCGTTCTTTAAACTGTCCTGCAATTGAAGGATAATGCTCTGTGTTTTTTCCTCCGGAACATCAGTTAGCTCATAGTCGAAAACCTCTCCTTCATCTTCATCCAGGTCTTCTGGCAAATCAGGCTTCTCCAGACTGGTGTTTTGTTCGGCCTCCGCGGTGGACACTGCATCAGTTTGAGAGGAAGAGCTGCATTGGCTGGGTGACCAGTCTATCGTTTGGACACCCTGTTCCGCGGTTTCTACTGCCACTTTAGCAGACACCTTTGGGTCGGGCTCCTCTGGCAATGCGTTGGGTAACAGCTGCCTAAGTGTCCGACTGGAGTTTTCGCACTTAATCTTAAACGTATAGCAGTGGTTTATCTCGCTCAGACAGCCTAGGCATACCCTCTCCGGCAAGTTATCATTCTTCCGAGGCTATAAAAACAAAGTAAACCTTACTTAGCAGCACAGGCTTTAGGATTATCCCATTCAATGCCTACCTTTGTTTTTGTAAATTCACGCAGCATGTCTGCCAGGCAGCTACCTGATCCCCCGTCGTAAATGGACACCAGGGGACCCGAGGAGCTGAGACATGTGAGGCAAATTTTGTCAACATCCATTTTGCGAAGATATCGCGTTGGAAAACAAAATATAACAATTGGGAAACAAGCAGTAGGACCGCATTCGGGAACCGAGATTATACCTCTTAGTGGATAGGAGGAAACAAGTTTCAATAAGAAAAGGAGACCATGAATAAAAGCATCTTTTCCATAAAATAGGTAAATATTTTCTTGAAAGCTTGAATCTTTTATCCATAGTTTTAAAATCTATTCTGTTAAAGATATAAAAACCCCGATTTCATGGTAAAATTTTTGGCGGCATAGTACACACTTCACAACGCTGGTCACACTAAAATTTAAATCTTATTTTTTGTTCCCAAGTTTAATATTTTTTAGTTAGTATAAATAATCTTATTATTAAATTGTCTTTTAAAAAAAAATATCTCTCACATATAGTTATATAAAATTATATCAAAATATGCATTCCATTCTTAAATTCAACCTTATATCTTTATGAACATTCCAATTCTTGCAGCTCACTCCCACGATGTTTGCCTAGTACATGGCGCTTCAAGTGGTGCTTTTCTCGGAAGCACATTTGGCATAGCAGGCACTGGTAAGGTCGTATGTCTGTGTGGCGACGGCGATGCTTGATGAGATTATTATTGTCTGAGAAAGCCTTCGGACAGTGGGGACACTGATAGGGCTTTTCGCCTGTGTGTGTCCGGATATGCAGTGTCAGAGCTGGCTTAGAGCGGAAGCTCGCAGAGCAAACCGAACATTCATGTGGTCGTTTGCCTTTGTGGGCGTTTATATGGACTTCAAGCGCCGACTTGTTGGTGAACACCGCGCTGCAGATGGTGCATTGGTGGCGACCCCGAGGAATTAGGGGACTGGGCTCCTGCTCTGGGTGAATTAGCAGATGCGCCTTTAGATACTGCTCTTGGATGAAAGTTTGTGGGCAGTAGGGGCACTTTAAAGGTCCCTCCTCAGTGGACTGGCACTTATGCATGTCCAGCCCACGGCTGGTGGAGAAAACCTTCAAGCAAACGGGGCACTCCACAGCGGAGTTATTAGTTTTGAAGCATTGATGTTGGTCCAAATCTGTTTTAAACAGGAATCTTTCCCCGCAAGTCTTGCAACAGTGCGAATTGGTGTGAATTCTGAAAAATTAAATGATAATTACTGTATTATCTTTTGATCCTTATATTAGACTTACTTCATATGATCTATTAGATTTCTTTGGCGTTGAAACACATTAACGCAGAGATCGCACTTAAATAACTTGGATACATCTATTTTGGAGTTTTTCAGAATTGGCTCTGTTGTTTTTAAAACTTTATTTTTGGCTGCAGTTTTCCTCGTTTTCTGAGTTTTGATCGGCACTTCATCTTTGAACCATATTTCCTCACTAATAATAACTTCCGGCTCTTCCTGTTGCGAATCCATGGGAAGGTTATCTAACTCCAGTTTTTTAACAATGAAAAGCTCTTCTGCATCGGCCTCTTCTTTGGTTTCCTGTTGCTTGGTAATCGCCAAATAGAAGTCTTCATTGCTCCGTTCGCATTTGAGTTTGAACCTGTACGCTGTCTGGGCATCCAGTACACAGGTCATGCAAATATTCTGCGGCAGAGAATCTCCAGGATGTAATTGGACGTTGGCGCACACCGCAATCATGTCGGCCAAGCTGGGTTCCAGCTCTCCATTGAACCAACACTGCTGTCGCTTGTCAAAAATACCAACAAGAGTCACGGAGTTGGAGCCACAAATGCGACACAACTGGTCCATGTTCTGGGTTGACCTTTATTTTAACAATTATGTGCATAAAGGAAGTAGAATCTGTTTACTTATTGTCGGCAGCTTAATGGAAATGGTACCAGACGTCGTGACTTTTCCAAATGCATCGATAGTAATCGATAAGTTATTTTCGACTTCGCGCTCTTTGGTATTCAAAAGTTAATTAAGCTTGACCAATTGAGTTATAATTTGTTCTCCATAGAAGCACTTTGTATTCGTCTGTTTCTTTTGAGTTGGCCGTTAATATGAAAGGGCTATTTTTAATCATTTCTATTTTTGTAGTTTTTTCAAAAGTTTCGAAATCTACAAATTCAACTCAAAAGGTTTTAATTTTAAATATATTGTTTAAGTAATCTAATAAATTTTTCAAAAACCAGCTGCACATGATAGTGTTGTACGAGTCTCTTTGTCCGGATTCTGCAGATTACTTCAAAAACTTTTTGCCAGTTTTTAGAAAACTTCATCAGTATATCGATTTAAAACTAGTTCCATTTGGTAAAGCTAATGTAGGAAAGATAATCTAACTTTTTTTGAATGTATTTATATTTTAATATTACTTTCAGTTTAAAAAACAACAATGTCAGCATGGCAAGCGGGAATGTTTGGGCAATCAAATTCAGGATTGTGTTCTCCACCGAAAACTTAAGCCCTTACAAAAAGTTAGATTTGTCGCCTGCCAATTTGCAAAAAAGGGTGTCACTGAAAAAAATACACAGTGTGCCAAGTCAAAATCTACACGCCGGTGGATTTTCGAATGCACTAAGCCTAATGGTGATTGGATAAAATACCAAAAGGAGTCGGAAAGAATTACCAATTTGTATAAATTTACCAATATTCCAGCCATTGTTTATAATGGAGTTTGTACCAAAGACACCTTAAAATATTTCTTAAAAATAATATGTTTTTCTTTTATTAGAAATTTGACCCAAGCCTGCAAGATGAAGCTACAGGTAACATATCGCAGAGTATTTGGAAACAGTTAACAAGAATTGGAATCAAAAAGCCCGGACATTTTTAAACAAAACGATTTTTAACGATTTTAAAATAAATTTAAAAAATTTCCGTATAGCTAAACCGACCATTTTATAAAAAAGTTTCAGTCCAGAACCAGTAAGCATCAAAATAACTATTTCTCTAGAGTACTCAATATGGAAATATCCTTTGTATCTCAATCTACTCGAAAATCTTGCTAAAAGATACTAGAAGAAATAAATAAAAATAAACCAAATGTAAGATTTCCCGGGAGCTTTGCCCAATTAGATTTTTTGCCAAATTTTCTGGAGGATCCCCTTTAAAATGTGGAAAATGCATAGGGGTCACAATATGGCCCACACCGAAGGCTATATCTTTGCCAAAAACCATCCGATTCTTGAGCGGAATACCTTAAATGATTTCTGGATCGATTCTCCATCGACCTGCATCAAAATCTGGGAACAAATTATTTTTTAGATTTTTTGTCAAATTTTCTATAGGATCCCCTTCAAAATGTGGAAAATGCATTTGGGTCACAATACGGCCTACACCGAAGGCTATATCTTTGCCAAAAACCATCCAATTGTTGAGCGGAGTACCTTAAATGATTTCTGGATCGATTCTCCATCAATCTGCATAAAAATCTGGAAACGAATTATTTTTTAGACTTTTTGTCAAATTTTCTGGAGGATTCCCTTCAAAATGTTGAAAATGCATGAAGGACACAATACGGTCTACACCGAAGGCTATATCTTGCCAAACGTCATCCGATTCTTGAGCGGAAAACTTTAAATGGTTTGTAGATCGATTCTCCATCGATCTGCAGCAAATCGATCTATATTATATATATGTATTAGTCCCCTACAATATACATTTTTGTATCAATTTAAACAAATCTACTTTATTTGTTTTAAGTTCGATAAACTCTCAAAATTAAGTATAAATATTCATATAAGAAACATCAAAGAGTTCTTTCCCCATGTGTGCAGTTAGTCGGAGGTGCGAATTTCTATGTTTTAGCGTCCATCCGCTAGTTTAAGCTTTTTTCTTCGCGTTTTAAGCTGATTCAAGAAACCGGCTCATGCGAGAATGCCTCCGAGAGGGGTAAAACGGCTCTCCCTGGGTCCAGTTCGGAGCTGGCCAAAATTAAACACCAAAAGTGACAAAACGGCGCTCAGTTGTTGAACTAAAATCGAATCCGACGGTCGCATAAACTTGGGCTTGGGCTTGGCATTCGGGCGTTAAAAACCTTCGCTTTCAAACCCCATCGAAGGCCAATCGATTTGCGCTATATCAGCTACATCAGCTCAAATTATATTTAAAAAAACAAGAAATGCTAAAGTTTACCAGTGTTCTTAGCCTGTTCTTGCTGATCCAGGGCTTTTGTTGGGCCAAGATCCAGGATGAGCCCAGGGAGAAGCGACAAACGGAAAAGGTTAGTTTATAAAGAGAAACACTACTAAATCCCTAGAAATTGTCTGAATTATAGTATGTTCATTTATTCAAAATAATTCGAACTTAAAAGTTTTAAATAAGACCCCACAACAATCCCCCTAAATCCTTTCCAGCTGCACATAACGCTCCTGTACGAGTCCCTTTGTCCGGACAGCCGGAACTTCATGCACCAACTGGGACCCGTGTACGAAGAGTTCCAGGACTATATCGACATCCTGCTGGTGCCCTTCGGCAAGTCGCAGTCAGAACAAAATGGAGCCATTTTCCATTGCCAGCACGGACCGGCAGAGTGCCAGGGCAACAGACTCCAGAGTTGCGTCATCAACAGCACCGGAAACCAGGCGGCCCAGGTGAAATTTGTGATTTGTCAGATGCTGGCACCGGACTACTCCCGCGTCGATCAGGTACTTTCACCTTGCCGGACTCCGTTGAAGTGTTTGGCCAGCTGATTAACGTTATTGTTCCCTATCTGAGTAGTGCGCCAGCGAGGCGGGACTGATCACCGACGTGGACCACTGTGTGACCAGCGAAACGGGGACCAAGTTGCAGCTTCAGGCCGAGCTGGTGACCAAACGCTACAGTCCGAGCTTCGTTCCCACCATCGTCTACAATGGCGTAAGTAGTCGATCCACTACTGATCGCATCCATCGATCTCTCAATTCGATCCAATCGTAATCGAATGCATTTAACTGGTTTTCTTGTTTTCGTTTCCACATTCAACAGGTATTCGATCAGCAGCTGCAGGACCATTCGATCCGCGATTTCCGTGGCACGGTCTGCCACATGTTGCGTCAACAAAACTTGCTGCCCAGCGGCAACACAATCTGCCAGTAGATCCACTAAAATGTAATGTTCACAATGTAACTGCCACAAGTTTGGAATGTAAATTAAAATTCAGAAACTGGTTTTTTTTCATTGAACAAGAATATGCGAGTGTTTTGGGGTGCATTTTTAGACTTTAAGATTTCAAGGCTTAACAAAGGGATACTCTTCTTCCCAAATGGTGGCATAAGAAACAATCTTTTCTCAGATAATAATTTATATTCATACATAAGATACAGTTCATCAATTAAAATCGCGTAAATATATATAGTACATGCAGGGCTTAGGGCATCTAGTTTATATACAAAACTCATACAATATAAATTCATTATGGATTTGGGAGTGGATAATGGGGGAATGGGAAGATGAGGGACTATCGTTAGGTCTTCCTCTCGATAAACCAACAACAAATGACTTATGGACTATCAACTAATGATTAACTATAGCTACGATTTAAATTTCTTGCACTTTGCTTGGTTTTGTTGCTGTGGTCGCTGACGGGTGTGCAGAAATAACAATTTGTAGACGGGTTTCCGTTGTGATTTCAAGGGTTAAAGCATTTCATTTAGACGGCGGTGCCGGGAGCCTTTCCAGCGGACGATGCCGTGGACCCGGCGGTGGCCACATTGAGACTAAGGGATCGGCGCGGTGCCGGCTTAGGCGGAATCTTCGGCTTGGCGGTTGGAATCTTCGATAGAGTCTGATGACTGGTGACAGGCTGTTGCTGTTGAGGGACGGGTTGTTCCTTTTCCTTCTCCTGGAACTCCACGTAGCCGGACTCATCGCTGTCCGAGTCGTCGCCCTGGATGGCTCGGTCATTTCTCTCCTGCTTGTCGCTGCCGGAATCGCTGTGCTTCAGCGTGATGCTGCTGGAGCTACTGTAATTGGTGGCATCGCCGCTGCTGTTGTGGCGCAGCTGCTGCTCCAGTCTTTGGTAGATCATCATCTGCTCCAGCACCTGCGCCTGCGCCTGCTCCAGCTCCAGATCATCCCCCTGCTGCAGTTGCCCGGGATCATTGTTCCGCTTGGCATTGTTGTACTCTTCGTGGTTGGCGTTTGTGACAGTGCTAGCTGTTTCGCAGCCGCTGGATATGGATCCCTCATCGCTGTCCGGGCTGGGCATTCCCTGTCCATTCGCGGATCCTCCACCTACGCCGGCAGCCGCCGAACTGCTGGCTGTGGTAGAGCTGGAGGCATTGGAGGAAATCGACGACTGCGCCTGGTGGCGGTACTGCAGGCTGGCCTGATCGCTGGCACGCATTTTACGCATGGAGCTGCGGTGCAGCATGGTCAGCATGGCCGCATGCCGGAAGTAGTGATCCTCGTCTGCATCGTCCAGGAAATCCTCTTCCCCGTCGCTGCACACTCCACTGCGGCGCAGGGTGGGCTCATTTGCGTAGTCCGCCTCCGGATCCGCACTGGGATCGCTGTTGATGGTGGGCAGCAGGCTCAGCGGTTCACCATCCTCCTCCTCCTCCTTCAGGTCGCTGAGGCTCATCATGCTCTGACTGCCCTGCTTATGGAGCTGCATGTCGAAGTAGGGGAGCAACTCAGTGCTCAGGGTTGGTTCGAACTTCAGCAGCTTCTCGAAGTCATCCGAATCGGAGCCTTCGTTAGCCGGAATTATCGCAGATGCTGCTGCCTTTTGTGACTCCTCCTCCTCCTCCAGGGACATGTGGGAGCTGCAGCAGAGTGAGGATGCCTGAATCTTTCCAGTTCTCCGGATGGAGTGACCGCGACGACAACGACGCCTGCCCAGCGTCATGGCCGGGTAGAGGGAGTCTTTCTGACAGCAGGGCTTCATCTCCGGCTCGTTAGTGTCCTCGATCTCGTCACCCTCCTCTTCGCCGATGGCCTCCTCGATGGCCATCAGTTTGGGGGCCGACTTGGAGCGCTCCAAGGGGGGTCGGTAGTTGTTGCCGCCGACGCTCAGCATGATCTTGCGGCGCGGCAAGCTCGGGTTGTCGTAGACGGCGTTGGCCAGGCTGAGGCGAGCGTTTTGCTTCAGAATTTTCTCGCGTTTAAATTCACGCAAAGCACTCTCGAGGTTCTCCTGTAAAAATAGTAATCCTTTAGTGATATCACATCTAAAAGAGGAAGGAATATCCTGCCACTTACCCTCAGCGTATCGCATATATCCTGGGCTATCTTCTCCTTGCTGCAGAGCACCGCATGGCATCGCAGCTCGTGCTTCAGTTTCCTGCCCTCATGCCGGTAGATCCAGCAAAAGACCCGCGGATAGTTCTTCGGGGCACAGCAGTAGGTGATCCTGTGGGCCCAGTACTCCGTAAGACCATGCTGCCGGGTGGTGGCCTTCAGACCCGAGGCGCACACCTTCAGTCGCATGATCACGTCCGGCTTGGAGTGCTGGGTGTAGTTGCGCCACAAAGTGTTCAGCTGCTTCTCCACGCAACCCTCACCTGCTAAGGTTGGAGTATTAGTTTATACTTTTAGTTAAAACTCGGACATTTCGACTCACCCTTGGCCCAACCAGTGAGCACGTTCCCCAGATACGAGACCTTGAACTCCGGATCGGGCGTACTGATGTCCACGCTGTGTGTACGCTTCCAGAGCTTGCCCAGGCTGCGGGTCAGAGTGCGAATGGCTTTGGAGCTGGGCTGCTCGTGGCCAGCCGTGCGGCCGACATGCTCCTGCCGGCTGCCGTACAGCAGATCCCGCGAGTCCGTGGTCAGCGTGATGACATTGGTCACTCGAACAGAGTCATCACCGCCGGCAATGTCTCCGTCCTCCTTGGACACCCGCTTGAAGCGCTCCAGGTAGGGTCCTGCCCGGCCGCGCCTTCCGCTGTAGGTGTTGAACTTTCCGCCCTCGGATCCGCTGGCCAGACGCTTCTGCTCCTGCTTCTCGAACTTCTTGGCGTTGTAGGTGTTGCCCAGCAGCCGGGCCAGACTGTTGCTCTTGACGAACTTGTGCTGCCTGGGCGGCGTACCAATCGGCACCGGCGGCAGCGGGGCAACGATTGTGGAGGTGGTCGTGGTCTCCACCTCATCCTGGGACTTGCTCTGACTCAGTTTCTTGCTGCTGCTCCCGAAATGGAAGAGGGTGCGACGCTCCTTGGACTTTTTCAGGGTGTTGCTGTTTGGTTCGATGTTTGGTGTTGCTGTTGCTGCTTCTGATGTTGCTTCTGTTGTGGTTGGTGCTTTGGTGTTTTGGATGACCGCCTGACTCACGCTTCGCAGATCTCCATACTCGTTGTTGTTGTTGTGTTTGGCCACAATGAAGTCTACCTCATCTCGACCCTCCATGGGGGCTGGGGACTGGGCGTTATTGCTGCTGTCTGCCATATCGAGGACTATATCCGACCAATATCCGTTCGTAATTGGCTACCCAAGGAGCATGTTTAATGAGCCGATCTGCGGATAAAACGAAAACAGTATACAATTAGCATTATGCAAATGAACCAAACCTAAACCGATTAAATGGGCCTGCTAAAATATTAATTGCTCAATAATTCCGTTTTTGAGGATCACTTGATGGAAATTTTTCCAAACCACACAATTAGCACAATTAAAAAAACAAAATACACAGTTAATAGTTAATACACCTCTAATTACATTATTTAATACCGCTTTCTTCGCCCCCTTCTCACAAGTGGATCTAGGAAAGAGCTAAATTACAAAGTTTTACCCACACTTTCACCCATCATCGAGTACAATTCGCACTCGAATGACTGCCACCAATTCACACCCGAACCCTCGAAAGGCCGATTTGAAGTGTGCTTTTCCGCAACTGCGTCTAAAAAAGTGTCAACTGAGCCGAGCGACTCTACTAATAAATTACCCCCATGATTAACACTCGGGGGGCCCCAGCTGTAAAATCTTTTTATGCCAGGTCTCGTGTTATTTTTTGTTTCTCACAACCCCACAGTATGCAAATGTTTACGGTATTATAATTGCTATTTTTTTGTAAATTGTTGCACTGTTATTGTTTTGGAAAATGCCACACGACGTTTTGTTTTCACATTATTCAGATGGCAGATTGTTTGCTAAAAAGCCAGTTCAAGATACAGCTATCAAGAGTCATTAAGTACGAGTATTAAATGCCTGAAAGGCACTTAGTGGGCTGAGAGAGGCGCCAGTTTGGTTACAGAACCATCATGTAACACACCGCCTATATTTATTTTTGAATTGGTAATTTATTTCAAGGCAATTGCTTCTGTTTCTAAGCCAAAACTCGACTAATCACTCACGTAGCTGGGGACTATCTGCGGTCAGAAGAACATCAGTTAACATCAACCCATAACCAGGTCTAATCTCACCCAACCTGCAGGGCTATCTAATCGTGTCGGATATTTGCTATTTTGTATGACTCTGATTTTTATTGCCACCATTAAGCTGCACAGAGCAGAGCTCGTGATTTAGAAATATTAAAAGTGTTCTGCGGCAAAGGAATTTATGGTAATTTACGGCCAAGTGTCTCGAATTCATAGGAAGTCGATAGCCGATCCGAAATGCAATACGACAGCCAGATAGCCATATAAGCCATAACCATATGCTGTGGCTTGGCACTGCCTCTTGGCCTCGGACAAAAGGCAAATGGTCAGGTCTATTGGCCATATCATTAGTGGGTTTTATATGCAATGACCTTGGCTGTCTGCAGGTGGCTTTGGGGAGTCAATAAAATGGCTGGCTTTCACTTTTCCGTGTCTTCGACTTCCATTTATGAGTTGGTTTTTTTTTTGTTTTTTTTGTAATGTTAATGTCACCCACCCGCCAACTCCATTCATAGATGCAAAACAAATATGAGAAAGCCCAGTAGTTGTTGGTATCCACCACCACCCATCCCTTGGGGCAATGACATCGCTGGCATCGTCATTCTCCGTCAGTTTTCTCCTCCATGATCAGCGCAAAGCAAAGAAAGCGCGCTGAATTTGTACAAAAAATAAAATAAAAAATAATATTAAAAAAAACTAAATAATTGTTTTGTATAGTGGACTGCCCTGCCCTGCCCCACCCATTATCATTTATGCTTCTTTGTATGGCTTCGTTTCCCCTTTGTCCATAATTGCAAGCCTCGGTATTGTGCGTGAGCGCGCAATTTAAAACCCCAACTCACATTAAACGAAATACGAAAATTAAATAAGAAAAAAAAAAGCATACATATATAAGAAAAATATAGTACTTTTTACCGGGGTACTGGTGAAAAAATAATGCAAAAAGCGTAATGAGGAAGTGTTGCCAAGTGGACAGTTTTGTGGGCAAAATGGTAATCAAATAGCCAGGAGCGGTTTAGACCTCCGGGGGGAAGGGCTTTCGATGAAGTGAAATTTAACAACTGTGATGTGATTAGCGTCGAAGAACTTTTTTGTGCATTTAACGATTAGGAAAGTGAGACTGTAATTTACTCGAAATACCCACGAGTCATTAATAAAAACTTTTACTTAATACAACGATCATTTGGCTACCTTTTGATTGATCATCGTGGCTCTTATAATTTGGTAAACGCTTTTAATTTATTTATTTGATATTTATATTTCTATTTCGGTTGCCATTTGCCAGTTTTTTGTTTGTTTTTTGTTGGATTCCTTTGTCCAGACAATGGCTGGGAGAGAAACTTGCCAAGTCATTTATCAAAATGTATTTTTAACCATTTTTTATTCTTTTTTTGTTTTTTGGGCTTAGCTGTTAACAGCTAAATTTGCGTTTGCTTCCCAAAACTGCCCAAACAACCCAAACTGGGCTGTTTCCGAGGCTGCTTAAAATGCAAAAAGCCACAGCCAACAGCAACGACATCAAAGCTATTTGTTTGGAGACCAAACACTTGAAAGTTCTCAATAGACCAGACCTGGCCGCAGAGTTGAACATAAAATGCAATTTATTATTGTTAAGAGCTCAACGAGATGGAGATGGAGGCCCGCAGCGAAGATACAGTGCAGACTCGAGTGAAGAAAACTATCAAGTCTATGCATCTTAAATCATTGCAGAGTGTATCTACTGTACCTCACAGGTGCAATGATTGGTTGTTGTTGTTGGTGGCATGTCTAGCATAAACTGTGTCAACAGCAAATTCGAAAAAGTTGATTCTAATGTTTGCCTAGTGTAGGCCAAGCCACACTACCAAAAGCAAAAATATCAATTTAGCCATGGTCCTCCGCCCCTCCCATACCTGTATGTGTACCTGGCCAATGTCAGGTTAAATAAATCGTAAATTCTTAGCCAACCGTCTAAGGCACGTTGAGATCTCGAGTTGGGTTCTCCAGCAACCCAAGAATGTCTCAAAAAAAAAAATTAAACAGTTTCGCAATTCGTATTTTTTATTTATTTATTTTTATAACATTTTTTTGGGCATGTGTGTCATGCGCTTTTGTCGCCTCAGAAATGAAGGTATAGGAGTCATATAGAGAGTACGAAGGAAGTCTTTTTTTGTTTCAGTCATCTCTGTACGTGCGAACGCATCGGAATGCATTTAATTGAACGCCTGAATAAGCCAATAATGTATGCCATACATTTGTATAGAATTATATTATTGGTAATTGATTGAATTGGCAACAAACACACCTTTCAAGCGAGGCGCAAAAACCAGGTTTCCAGCCAGCATTGCAGTTGTGTTTGTTATTCGGAAAGATACTGGTTAGATTTCAAGAAGAAAACAGTTTCTTAAGAACCACTGAAGAAACCACCATAGAACTAATTAAAAAAACATACGGGCAGGGAGTTTTTTTTCCCTAAAAAAATAAAACCAAAACGTTTTATTCGCATAATTATGCCATTACAAACAATCCACACAAGAACAATATTCAGATTACTTATCCACCTCCTCCACCATGAGAGGTTATCGGGGTTCCGACACGAGCTTACTTTGAAAAGAAATTAAAAATTCAGTTCTCATCTCACACCGAAAACAAAGAAACCAAATGACATTGACTTTTGTTAGCCTTTTTTTTTGGGCCACTCCACTGACAATAAAGAAAAATTCACTTGAATTCGGAGTTTAAAAGCTCAGGGGAGGCATCTGGGGAGGCAATTAATAGTGTAAAGAACCCCGTGCAATTTGTTTTAATTCTGTTTATAGACAGAAATAAAGTAAATTATCCCATAAAAGAGGCAACAACAAATTGGCAAGTTAGAATATCCGAAGTTGTGGAGATTTACGAGGCTATGTTTCAGTTTAATGCGATGGTTTTTTTTTGGCCAAGAGCCGGGCAACAAGTAGCCGGTTAATGGGGCTGGAGCTGGGGCTATGGTTGGGCTAATTGAGTGGAGAAGGTAGCCCCAGCAGCAGGTTTTTGTTTTACAAATTATATATATTTTTTTATGCCTGCGTAATTCTCTTTTTTTTTATTTTTTGAATATAAATTTCTTGCCTTTTTTTGAAAGTGAATGCCTTGACATCATTTTGTTTCGGTTTATTATTTTTACTTTTTCGTCGAAACCTTTATTGAAAACTGCGTATTGCAAACCCCCATATTCTGCTCTATAATTTATGCATATTTGCTCGGCAGACTACAAAAACAGAAACCTCTTAGCCAGGCAAACAATGTGGCTTTAAAAGAATTATCTGCCTAAGACAAGATAAATATTTTTGCATGAAAATTATTTAATTAAAGTGCTCCGGGCACTCTGTTTGGGTTTTGGGTGAAAGTTAAGCTTCTCGGATATTTGGCTAATTATTATTAAAGATATTTCTCCAAGCTGTTGTTTGGCAAATAGAGAAACACGTCAACAGAGACTTCCCGTACACAATGGGCTTTTTTTTGTAGGCGTGCCGAGTAAAAAAGCCTTTAAATTGTTTGTCATCGCCCCCAACCCTTTGAAGGGGCGTTCGAAAATTTATTAGCGCCCGGAAAATGCCGTCTAAGCGGGTTAATTGAGCAATAACAAAATGCAAAACATGCTAAAAATGCAAAATGATGCCTAATGTGTGTTTTGTATGCGTTTACACAACTGCCTAGTCGGCAGCCACAATAACAATTGCATTCTCCAGCACCAGCAACAGCAACAGCAAACAGCAATGCAACATTTCAAAGTTGCAACAAAAGTGTTTGGTAATCACGGCAGCTTAGAAGCCCACCACCACCACCTGCTTCGCAAACAAACAAAATTCGCCGGCCAATAGACCGAAAGACTTGGGTAAACAAATCATATAAGAGATTTGGATTTCAGATCTTGTAAATAATAATGGTGATTGCTGGCAATTAAATTTTATTTTTGGCAAGCTGCGGCTAATTAGCGTGAGATGTGGGGAAGCTGTGAGGCAACTGCAGAGCCCACTCCGAGTTGGACGTTTGACATTTGGCCAGATGGCTGCAGTTGCCACATTGTTAATTGACTTTCGAGCCCAGTTAGTGGAGTATGATTCGATTGTCGGCCTTTGCTGTTTTTTAATTAAGTTTTTCTTCCAGCCCATAGGGGTC